TGTTATGAAAAGGGTTTTGAGATTCACTGCGTGTTTCAGTTGATGACAGACACACCCTCCAATTCCATTGAATCTGTCTGGTTGATCCGGTCAGGAGTCAGACAGAGTGACATGTCACATGGCAATGGTACCGCATGGGGATGAGGACAAGCAGCTCTGCCTTCAAAGTTCACAATTGTAGAAGCACCACGCGCGATGCGATACCAGCTAATTGGCGGGAAAACAATACATGGGTGTACATGCATTTTCAAGTACCGTATAAAGACAGGTTGCGGAACACTCCAGCGTTATGGACTAAAATAACCATACCAAAATGGAATACACTTGTTTTTATATAGATATATAAGGCCTCAATAGCACTGGCAACGGGAAAGGGAAAGAAACATTAGCTGCTACAACACTGGGTAGGAAGGACCAGACCCGGACCGGACTACAGAGGAAATCGAATGTTTTTTGTACGAACAGTCACAAACTGGAAAGATGGTGCATGGAGAGCCGAGTGAGGAGCCGGACACCCGAACTCTAAAAGACGGATCATGGAACAGTGAGAGGTGGCGACAGGTGGTGCGAGGTGGTGAGAGGTGGCGAGAGGTTGGCTAGTGAGAGCTGTCAGGGCTGTCAGGGCGGGGAACACTTCTTGTAGGTATGTGAGCAGGTTGTGTTGTGTTGTGCGCGTTGGGCCGCATATCACTGAATCAGCAGGTCCGCGTTGTCAGGTCAGGGCGCGCAGCACTTGTACTTTACCAAATTGCGCCACTTGTCTTTGAGGTCCACGGGCGTGCGCGAGGGGTGGATAGATGGGTAGGTAGGTAGGTAGGTAGGTGGGTGGGTAGGTAGGTAGGTAGGTAGGTGGGTGGGTAGGTAGGTAGGTAGGTGGGTGGGTAGGTAGGTAGGTAGGTAGGTAGGTAGGTAGGTAGGTAGGTGGGTGGGTGGGTGGGTGGGTGGGTGGGTGGGTGGGTGGGTGGGTAGGTGAGTGGGTGGGTGGGTAGGTAGGTAGGTAGGTAGGTAGGTAGGTAGGTAGGCAGGTGAGTAGGTAGGTAGGTAGGTAGGTAGGCAGGTGAGTAGGTAGGTAGGTAGGTAGGTAGGTAGGCAGGTGAGTAGGTAGGTAGGTAGGTAGGTAGGTAGGCAGGTGAGTAGGTAGGTAGGTAGGTAGGTAGGTAGGCAGGTAGGTCAATAGGAGGGTGGGTTGGTCATGTCGGATGGTCAGGCCACGCAGCACTTGTACTTGACCAGATTGCGCCACTTGTCTTTGAGGTCCACGGGCGTGCGCGAGGGGTGGAAGCGGTGCCGGCAGTGCTGCAGAATGAGCTTCCACTTGTCCGCTGCCGCTGCTACCCTGTGCCTCTCCTTCAGCTCCTGATGGGGCGAGGGAGGGAGAGGGGGCGAGAAGGGTTAGAGAGCGCGAGAGGGAGGGAGAGGGCGATGGAGGGAGAGAGTGAGAGGAGGGAGAGAGGGGGAGGGGCGGAGAGAGGGCGAGGGAGGGAGAGAGGGCGAGGGAGGGAGAGAGGGCGAGGAAGGGAGAGAGGGCGAGGAAGGGAGAGAGGGCGAGGAAGGGAGAGAGGGCGAGGGAGGGAGAGAGATGGAGACAGTGTGCAGAACAGGTGCACGGAGTTGCAATGATGTAACAAGATGGGATGCAGACACAGGGGAGGAGAGCTGCACGGGTGCAGTCTCGACAGAGAGGTGCTAGTGTTGAGCAGGCGAGGAAGGGAGAGAGATGGAGACAATGTACAGAACAAGTGCATGAACTTGCTATTTGGACCACATGAAAATGAGGCGAAAGTGTGTGTGTGTGTGCGTGTTTGTGCACGCGCGCGCATGTGTGCACGCATGTGTGCACGTGTGTGGATGTGTGTGTGTGTGCATGTGTGGGTGTGTATGTGTGTACAGGTGTGCATGTGTGCATGTGTGTGCGTGTGTGCATGTGTGTGCGTGTGTGCATGTGTGTGCGTGTGTGTGTGTGTGTGAGCACGTGCATGTGTGTGTGTGTGTGTGTGTGTGTGAGTGCGTGTGTGTGCATGTGCATGCGTGCGTGCGTGCGTGCGCGCGTGAGTGCATGCGTGTGTGTGTGTGTGTGTGTGTGTGTGTGTGTGTGTGCGTGAGTGTGTGTGCGTGAGTGTGTGTGCGTGAGTGTGTGCGCGCGCGCACATGTGTGCGCACACTGACACAGCACGGGCATACCAGCAGCAATTCTTCCTCCTCTTCTGTCTACCTGCGCTTCGCTCACCGCCTACCGGCAGCTGGAGCAGCAGCAGCGGCAGCAGCAGCCGCACAAGGAGCCGAAGTTGCTTTATGGCTCCTTCGGCCACGGCTGGTAGGGAGGACGAAAGGGATGATGCATGCAATCGGCGGAGACGCAACGCAAGGACGGGGAGTGGACTTAAGAGCATGGAACAAGCAGTGAAGCATCACGTGTGGAGGAAGCACAGAAAACACACTGGGATTGGAAAAATGCACGAGCAATATTCCCAGCAATCCGGCTTGTCGGCACGACCCGTCAACATGACAAATCGAGCCGGCAATCCAGAGTGGCAATGAGACGAACTGGTACATGACAAGCCGGTGCCTCCCTCTGCCAGTCAGCCTTGAGGCTACAAACAAAGAGCAAAGCGCCATCTTACCTACCAAATGCCTTCCTTCCCTCCTCACTCTCATTGCCCTCGTGCTGCATCGCAACTCCCTCCTTCCTCCCCTCCTCTTCACTCCTCATTCGCCCATGCCCTCCACCTCCATCTGCCTCCTCCATCCCATTCCCGTTCTCCTCTCTCACACCACCACCAACAGCACCCACTCGCCTCTTATTCCCTCTCCTTGCCGGCCCCTCTGCCTCTCCTCTTCGCCTCTTCAACCCACTCCCCGCCCCCTCTACCACCAGCAGCACCAGCAGCACCGCCAGCAACAGCAGCCCCTATAGGGGATGCAGCACGCACCTCGCCTTCCTCCTCCTCATCCTCCTCTTCCTCCTCCTCTTCTTCCCCCTCCTCCTGCTCCTCCTCTAAATCCCTCCTGATCTCTGCTCTTTCCACACCACCACCACCGCACCCTCTCACCAGCCACGGGTGTCGCAGCCATGGCTGCGCGACGCTCGACGATACACCCAAATGCGGGGATGTGCGGAGCGGTAGTCGATTCAGATTTTTTTTTTTTTTTTTAAGGAAAGGAAGGAAAACGAAAATATATTCTCCTTCCTAGCGAAATGCAGCGCGGAAGATGGTATCGATATTAGTGATGAGGCCGGTGTACGGAGATAGAAACGATGGTGACTGTTCGAGTTGGATTGAGTGTGATATGTCGTCCTGAGCAATTGCAACATCGAAACGAAACCTAGTTTGGTTTTCAGCCCAACAAATTTCAGCCTGCTTCTCATATTTGGTTCTTTGAGGCCTGTTGGTGTGGTAAAAGGTGGTGCGAGGTCTGCGGTTTGGGTAGGCTTGGCTGGGCAGGCTAGGCAGCACGAAGGGGGAGCGTGTTTGGAAGTTTGGGGTTTGGTTCAGGTTTGAGATTCGAGATGACAGGGGAGCTAGCTAGGGATTTAGGTTCGTCTTCAAATGTTTGGCGCGCAATCCGAGGAGCGTCCCTCTTACGCTCCCGCGCTTTTCCCAAGGTGCAAGTTGCATCGTCCATCCCCGATGTGACTCTACCGAGCCGGTTGGATCCGAAAATTTGAAAGCTTACCTGCAATCGATACACTTCATCACAAGCACTGTTCGATACAGAATTCGGAAATTCAAAACCAGACCGCCGAACAACAAGGTAGATCTGGAGTGCAGGCTAACAACGAGGAACAGCCAACCCTTCGAATGTAGAATTGCCGAATATCTGCATACCATTCACTAGGCAGGTAGGAGCTCTGAAATTAGTACATTCGCTTAGCAGCCACGCTAAGGCAGCCAGTTACGGCAACCCCCGGTCGCGCTTCGTCTGTTCGCGTCGCTTATGATGAAAGGAAGCACACAGCTAGCGTAAGTCTCCACCTGACGTCAACGTAGCATTTATTTCCCTCCGAAGCTCTACCCGCCACTGCACTTCGCAATTTTTGACTGGAACTGACCGTACAGCTGCATTCGACTTGCCGGTTCAACGCCTCGTGTTGTGTGGACGCGGCCCCGTGGAGCACGCGTGAACACGTGGCGCCATGGTACTGGAAAACCACCTGTTTAGGTTCCACCATTGTTTGCCGTCTACTGATTTCGATCAAACCATCACAGGAGCACACTGAGCATTCTCAACGGTTCCCGTTGATGCCAAACCGCCGCCATTGCCTCCGTTCCCCCTCTACTCTCTCCCTAGACTACGCTTCGTACCAATCCATTCGAGTAGCTCCAGTCTCCCTAGACCCTACAGTCGTATTCCTGGGTTCCTAACCCTCACTTAGTTTCGACGCGCCTTAGCCCTCGGCCACGTGGGCGCGTGGCGCGCGACGCGTGGGCGGCGCGTGAGTGCGGCACGTGGCGCGATGGTACTGGAGAAGGACCTGTTCCGGTTCTACGAGCGGCTCAAGGAGTCGTGCGCGCGCAGCGGCGACCACACGCTGCACGTCTTCGTCGCCGGCATCTACGTCGACTCCGCCGTCGCGCTCAAGATCCTCACGGTACGCGCTGCCTGCCACCCGCCGTCCGCCGCACACCACCGGATACTTGAAAGTAAACTGGAAAGTTGCCGACGCGCTCAAGGTTCTCACGGCACGAGCACGCGGCCGTCGCCCGCCGCCCGCCGCCCTTTGCAAGGAGGGTGGATGATGAGGAGTGAGAAGCGAGGGGAAGCGCAGTGCTTCAGGAGGGAGGACGAGGGATATTTCTTGTAGAATTTTGTTCTGGTTAACCCGCACCGCAATGCCACTCATCATGCATTTGCGTAATTGAGCGCGGAGAGAAGAGTGGTGTGCATGATAAGGTGCGCAACGACCAAATAAATTGAGTCATTATTCTACCCACCCTTGCTGCTGCGCCCGTTTTTCCTCCTCTGTTTCCGCTGCTCTTCCCTGCTCTTCCGTTTGCTCTATGTCCTGTCCCCGACAGGACTTGCTACGAGCTGACTCGCTACAGTACTCGGTGTTCCCTGTGTATGGCTACGATGACATCACCGCACATGCCAACAAGGCTGCGGCTGGTAACCAGGTCAGTGCGCGCTCCTCCCTACCCCATGCCATCCCGCATGCGGCCCTGCCCCACGTTCACACGACCTGCACCCGCCCCAAACCCCGTACCCTCTCACCTGTCCCCCATCCCCTGACACACCTCCCCCTCCCATTCGCCTCTCCCCGTTCCTTATTCCCCCTTCCCGTATCCTCAACTGCGGGCCCATGGAGGACCCGTGTGGGCTGCAGGCAGACTTCTCTTCTGAGTCGCCTAAGAAAAACCTCAACCTCACATGAAACCCTCTCGTTCACTCCGCTCTCTTTTCACTCGTCCACGCTCCCTCTTTCCACATGCACTCTCGAACCTGTCCCCCGTCCCCCGTCCCCCGTCCCCCATTCCCTGTTCCCTGTTCCCCTCGCCCCCTGGGCCAGGCGTACACAGCAGTGCTCCTCAACTGCGGGGCCACGAAGGACCTGTGTGGGCTGAAGGGAAACAGTGCTTCTGAGTCTACTAAGTTAATATCCACCCTCATTCCCGTGCCCGGACCTCTATTTCCCGCGTTCAACCTCCAGGCGTACACAGCAGTGTTCCTCAACTGCGGGGCGACGGAGGACCTGTGTGGGCTGCTGGGCGTGGGCCCATCTGTGTCGCTCTTTGTGCTGGACTGCCATCGCCCCGTGCACCTCACCAACGCCGCTCTGCACAACACCAAGGTGCCATGGGGGACATTGGGATGGGTTTGGGCATGGATGTGGGCGGTGCGGGTATGAGCACAGGCATGAGAATGGGGATGGGCATGGGCATGGGCACAGCCGCATAGCAGCCTGGGCGTAGGCCCGTCTGTGTTGCTCTTTGTGCTGGACTGCCATCGCCCCGTGCACCTCACCAACGCCGCTCTGCACAACACCAAGGTGCCATGGGGGATGCGGGTGAGGCTATAAGTACGGATGTGGGCGGGGATGTGGGTGCAGTGGCTGGTGATGGAGCAGGTGTGGCCGTTGGTGTGAGGATGGGGTGAGTACTTGGCATGGGGATGGGGCATGAGCACTCCTTCCCCCTCCCCCCTCATCCCCTCTCCCCCCCTTCCCCGTTTCCCACCGCATCCTACCTCCTCCCCTGATCGTCCTGACAACTCCTCCCCCCCCCCTCCTCATACCCAGCTGGTGCTAGCCCAGTCCCCAGAGAATGACCCAGAGAACCCCCTCTTATCCCCTTCTCCACCCCGTTCCCACCGTTCCCTCCCTCTTCCTACCCACTCCCCTCTCCATCAAGCCCATTCCCCCTCCCCCCTCATACCCAGCTGGTGCTAGCCCAGTCGCCAGAGAGCAAGCGAGAGAACCCCTTCTTATCCCCTTCTCCCCCACCCCCTCTCTTCCCCCTCCCACCCCCAATTTTCCTACCCTCTTCCCAAACATCCTGCCTATTGCGCCGCCACCTCCCTCCCCCACCTCCCTTTCTCTCCCCCCCCTCCCCTTTCTCTCCCCCCGTTGCTGCCAGGTGGTGCTAGCGCAGTCTCCAGAGAGCGAACCAGAGGACCCCTTTTCCCTTTCTTCCACCCCCATCTTCCTACCCCCTCCCTTCCACATCCCACCCCATTCCCTGCCACCTCCCTTCGCTCCTCCCCCCCGTCATCCCCAGGTGGTGCTAGCACAGTCTCCGGAGAGCGAGCCAGAGGACCCCTTCTTATCCCCTTCTCTTCCCCCCCACCTTTCCCCTCCGCCTCCTTCATCCCAGGTGGTGCTAGCGCAGTCCCCAGAAAGTGAGCCAGAAGACCCGTTCTTAGCGCGGATACTAGCCGACCAGGGCGCAACGGGCAGTGGCAGCGACGGGGACGACTCCCCTTGGGAATCCGACTCTGATTCCGCCTCCGATTCTGACTCGGATGGGTTTAGCCCGGGCAGAGGGCGGGGTAGAGGGGGTGGGAGAGGGGGGAGGAGACCGGGTGGTGGTGGTGGTGCGGGGGGGAGTGAGGGAGAGGATGATGATGATGATGATGGGTTTGGGGGTGGTACAGAGGGGAGGAAGAGGAGGGGGAGGAGGAGGGGGGAGAGGGGGAGGCGGAGGCGGCAGAGGGAGGAGGAGAGGGAGAGAGAGAGGGATCCTGCGGTGAGGGCGAGGAGGAGGGAGAGGAGAAGGGTGAGGCTGGAGTATTATAACCGCGGGTCGTTCTTTGGGCAGCCGTCGGGGTGTGTGGTGTTTGAGATGGCGCATGGCATGCGCCGAGACACCAGTGAACACCTCTGGTGAGGCACTGGGGGGGGGGGGAGAGGGAAGAGGGGACGTGGGAGGGGGAAGAGGGGGGTTTATGGGATTTGGGGGGTTTTGGTAGAGTGAGAAATGATATGCAGGGTGTGTGGTGTTTGAGATGGCGCATGGCATGCGCCGAGACACCAGTGAACGCCTCTGGTGAGGCACTGGGGGGGAGAGGCGTGGGAGGGGGAAAAAGGGGGGTTTTTGGGGTTTGGGGTGGTTTGGTAGAGCCGGAAAGGATGGCAGTGTGTGTGGTGTTTGAGATGGCGCATGGCATGCAGCGAGACACCAGCGAGCACCTCTGGTGAGGCAGGGATGGAGGAGGTGGGAGGGGGAAACAGGGAGTTGTATGGGGTTTCGGGGGGTTCTGGGGAGTTGTTTTGGTGGAGTCAGAAACTACGTCCCGAGGTGTGGTGTTTGAGATGGCGCATGGCATGCGGCGAGACATGAGTAAACGCCTCTGGTCAGACAGATGCCAGTAGGGAGGGGGTGTTGGGAAGGTGGGGAGGGGCGTCAGGTGGGGAGGAGGGCAGGGGGGTGGGGGGTAAGTGGAACGTAAGGGAGAGAGGAGAGGTTGGCAAATGCGGTTTTGTGTGGCATCAACTTGCTTTGCCCATCGCTTCTCCTCCCTCCTCCCCCCCCCCCCTCCTCCCTTTTCCCAAGCTCGCATGCATGTCCTCTGTCCATGGCAGTCCTGTTTGTGCTCTCCCGCCCGCCCACACCCTTTGGGCTGTGCCTGCCTTGCTCTCAGGCACTTGCACTGTAACCAATCTATCAAAATCCCGTTCACTCCCATCACCACCGCTCCCCTCCTCTCACCACCACCGCTGCCCTCCTCCCTACACCCTCCTTCTCCCGTTCCTCTCCGCGGGCTTGCGTGTGTGTCCATGACAGGTCGGTTGGTGCACTCTTGTCTTGCCTCACAGCACTGCACTGCACTGCAGGCTGCCTTTCATACATGCGCCTGCAGAGCACCCTTCCTCCTTTCACACACTGCAGGGATGCCTTTCATACATGTGCCTGCAGAGCACCCTTCCTCCTTTCACACACTGCAGGGATGCCTTTCATACATGCGCCTGCAGAGCACCCTTCCTCCTTTCACACACTGCAGGGATGCCTTTCATACATGTGCCTGCAGAGCACCCTTCCTCCTTTCACACACTGCAGGGATGCCTTTCATACATGTGCCTGCAGAGCACCCTTCCTCCTTTCACACACTGCAGGGATGCCTTTCATACATGTGCCTGCAGAGCACCCTTCCTCCTTTCACACACTGCAGGGATGCCTTTCATACATGTGCCTGCAGAGCACCCTTCCTCCTTTCACACACTGCAGGGATGCCTTTCATACATGCGCCTGCAGAGCACCCTTCCTCCTTTCACACACTGCAGGGATGCCTTTCATACATGTGCCTGCAGAGCACCCTTCCTCCTTTCACACACTGCAGGGATGCCTTTCATACATGCGCCTGCAGAGCACCCTTCCTCCTTTCACACACTGCAGGGATGCCTTTCATACATGTGCCTGCAGAGCACCCTTCCTCCTTTCACACACTGCAGGGATGCCTTTCATACATGTGCCTGCAGAGCACCCTTCCTCCTTTCACACACTGCAGGGATGCCTTTCATACATGTGCCTGCAGAGCACCCTTCCTCCTTTCACACACTGCAGGGATGCCTTTCATACATGTGCCTGCAGAGCACCCTTCCTCCTTTCACACACTGCAGGGATGCCTTTCATACATGTGCCTGCAGAGCACCCTTCCTCCTTTCACACTCTGCAGGGATGCCTTTCATACATGTGCCTGCAGAGCACCCTTCCTCCTTTCACACACTGCAGGGATGCCTTTCATACATGTGCCTGCAGAGCACCCTTCCTCCTTTCACACACTGCAGGGATGCCTTTCATACATGCGCCTGCAGAGCACCCTTCCTCCTTTCACACACTGCAGGGATGCCTTTTATACATGTGCCTGCAGAGCACCCTTCCTCCTTTCACACACTGCAGGGATGCCTTTCATACATGCGCCTGCAGAGCACCCTTCCTCCTTTCACACACTGCAGGGATGCCTTTCATACATGTGCCTGCAGAGCACCCTTCCTCCTTTCACACACTGCAGGGATGCCTTTCATACATGCGCCTGCAGAGCACCCTTCCTCCTTTCACACACTGCAGGGATGCCTTTCATACATGTGCCTGCAGAGCACCCTTCCTCCTTTCACACACTGCAGGGATGCCTTTCATACATGCGCCTGCAGAGCACCCTTCCTCCTTTCACACACTGCAGGGATGCCTTTCATACATGTGCCTGCAGAGCACCCTTCCTCCTTTCACACACTGCAGGGATGCCTTTCATACATGTGCCTGCAGAGCACCCTTCCTCCTTTCACACACTGCAGGGATGCCTTTCATACATGCGCCTGCAGAGCACCCTTCCTCCTTTCACACACTGCAGGGATGCCTTTCATACATGTGCCTGCAGAGCACCCTTCCTCCTTTCACACACTGCAGGGATGCCTTTCATACATGTGCCTGCAGAGCACCCTTCCTCCTTTCACACACTGCAGGGATGCCTTTCATACATGTGCCTGCAGAGCACCCTTCCTCCTTTCACACACTGCAGGGATGCCTTTCATACATGTGCCTGCAGAGCACCCTTCCTCCTTTCACACACTGCAGGGATGCCTTTCATACATGTGCCTGCAGAGCACCCTTCCTCCTTTCACACACTGCAGGGATGCCTTTCATACATGTGCCTGCAGAGCACCCTTCCTCCTTTCACACACTGCAGGGATGCCTTTCATACATGTGCCTGCAGAGCACCCTTCCTCCTTTCACACACTGCAGGGATGCCTTTCATACATGTGCCTGCAGAGCACCCTTCCTCCTTTCACACACTGCAGGGATGCCTTTCATACATGTGCCTGCAGAGCACCCTTCCTCCTTTCACACACTGCAGGGATGCCTTTCATACATGTGCCTGCAGAGCACCCTTCCTCCTTTCACACACTGCAGGGATGCCTTTCATACATGCGCCTGCAGAGCACCCTTCCTCCTTTCACACACTGCAGGGATGCCTTTCATACATGTGCCTGCAGAGCACCCTTCCTCCTTTCACACACTGCAGGGATGCCTTTCATACATGTGCCTGCAGAGCACCCTTCCTCCTTTCACACACTGCAGGGATGCCTTTCATACATGTGCCTGCAGAGCACCCTTCCTCCTTTCACACACTGCAGGGATGCCTTTCATACATGTGCCTGCAGAGCACCCTTCCTCCTTTCACACACTGCAGGGATGCCTTTCATACATGTGCCTGCAGAGCACCCTTCCTCCTTTCACACACTGCAGGGATGCCTTTCATACATGTGCCTGCAGAGCACCCTTCCTCCTTTCACACACTGCAGGGATGCCTTTCATACATGTGCCTGCAGAGCACCCTTCCTCCTTTCACACACTGCAGGGATGCCTTTCATACATGTGCCTGCAGAGCACCCTTCCTCCTTTCACACACTGCAGGGATGCCTTTCATACATGTGCCTGCAGAGCACCCTTCCTCCTTTCACACACTGCAGGGATGCCTTTCATACATGTGCCTGCAGAGCACCCTTCCTCCTTTCACACACTGCAGGGATGCCTTTCATACATGCGCCTGCAGAGCACCCTTCCTCCTTTCACACACTGCAGGGATGCCTTTTATACATGTGCCTGCAGAGCACCCTTCCTCCTTTCACACACTGCAGGGATGCCTTTCATACATGCGCCTGCAGAGCACCCTTCCTCCTTTCACACACTGCAGGGATGCCTTTCATACATGTGCCTGCAGAGCACCCTTCCTCCTTTCACACACTGCAGGGATGCCTTTCATACATGCGCCTGCAGAGCACCCTTCCTCCTTTCACACACTGCAGGGATGCCTTTCATACATGTGCCTGCAGAGCACCCTTCCTCCTTTCACACACTGCAGGGATGCCTTTCATACATGCGCCTGCAGAGCACCCTTCCTCCTTTCACACACTGCAGGGATGCCTTTCATACATGTGCCTGCAGAGCACCCTTCCTCCTTTCACACACTGCAGGGATGCCTTTCATACATGTGCCTGCAGAGCACCCTTCCTCCTTTCACACACTGCAGGGATGCCTTTCATACATGTGCCTGCAGAGCACCCTTCCTCCTTTCACACACTGCAGGGATGCCTTTCATACATGTGCCTGCAGAGCACCCTTCCTCCTTTCACACACTGCAGGGATGCCTTTCATACATGTGCCTGCAGAGCACCCTTCCTCCTTTCACACACTGCAGGGATGCCTTTCATACATGTGCCTGCAGAGCACCCTTCCTCCTTTCACACACTGCAGGGATGCCTTTCATACATGTGCCTGCAGAGCACCCTTCCTCCTTTCACACACTGCAGGGATGCCTTTCATACATGTGCCTGCAGAGCACCCTTCCTCCTTTCACACACTGCAGGGATGCCTTTCATACATGTGCCTGCAGAGCACCCTTCCTCCTTTCACACACTGCAGGGATGCCTTTCATACATGTGCCTGCAGAGCACCCTTCCTCCTTTCACACACTGCAGGGATGCCTTTCATACATGTGCCTGCAGAGCACCCTTCCTCCTTTCACACACTGCAGGGATGCCTTTCATACATGTGCCTGCAGAGCACCCTTCCTCCTTTCACACACTGCAGGGATGCCTTTCATACATGCGCCTGCAGAGCACCCTTCCTCCTTTCACACACTGCAGGGATGCCTTTCATACATGTGCCTGCAGAGCACCCTTCCTCCTTTCACACACTGCAGGGATGCCTTTCATACATGCGCCTGCAGAGCACCCTTCCTCCTTTCACACACTGCAGGGATGCCTTTCATACATGTGCCTGCAGAGCACCCTTCCTCCTTTCACACACTGCAGGGATGCCTTTCATACATGTGCCTGCAGAGCACCCTTCCTCCTTTCACACACTGCAGGGATGCCTTTCATACATGTGCCTGCAGAGCACCCTTCCTCCTTTCACACACTGCAGGGATGCCTTTCATACATGTGCCTGCAGAGCACCCTTCCTCCTTTCACACACTGCAGGGATGCCTTTCATACATGTGCCTGCAGAGCACCCTTCCTCCTTTCACACACTGCAGGGATGCCTTTCATACATGTGCCTGCAGAGCACCCTTCCTCCTTTCACACACTGCAGGGATGCCTTTCATACATGTGCCTGCAGAGCACCCTTCCTCCTTTCACACACTGCAGGGATGCCTTTCATACATGTGCCTGCAGAGCACCCTTCCTCCTTTCACACACTGCAGGGATGCCTTTCATACATGTGCCTGCAGAGCACCCTTCCTCCTTTCACACACTGCAGGGATGCCTTTCATACATGTGCCTGCAGAGCACCCTTCCTCCTTTCACACACTGCAGGGATGCCTTTCATACATGTGCCTGCAGAGCACCCTTCCTCCTTTCACACACTGCAGGGATGCCTTTCATACATGTGCCTGCAGAGCACCCTTCCTCCTTTCACACACTGCAGGGATGCCTTTCATACATGTGCCTGCAGAGCACCCTTCCTCCTTTCACACACTGCAGGGATGCCTTTCATACATGTGCCTGCAGAGCACCCTTCCTCCTTTCACACACTGCAGGGATGCCTTTCATACATGTGCCTGCAGAGCACCCTTCCTCCTTTCACACACTGCAGGGATGCCTTTCATACATGTGCCTGCAGAGCACCCTTCCTCCTTTCACACACTGCAGGGATGCCTTTCATACATGTGCCTGCAGAGCACCCTTCCTCCTTTCACACACTGCAGGGATGCCTTTCATACATGCGCCTGCAGAGCACCCTTCCTCCTTTCACACACTGCAGGGATGCCTTTCATACATGTGCCTGCAGAGCACCCTTCCTCCTTTCACACACTGCAGGGATGCCTTTCATACATGCGCCTGCAGAGCACCCTTCCTCCTTTCACACACTGCAGGGATGCCTTTCATACATGTGCCTGCAGAGCACCCTTCCTCCTTTCACACACTGCAGGGATGCCTTTCATACATGCGCCTGCAGAGCACCCTTCCTCCTTTCACACACTGCAGGGATGCCTTTCATACATGTGCCTGCAGAGCACCCTTCCTCCTTTCACACACTGCAGGGATGCCTTTCATACATGCGCCTGCAGAGCACCCTTCCTCCTTTCACACACTGCAGGGATGCCTTTCATACATGTGCCTGCAGAGCACCCTTCCTCCTTTCACACACTGCAGGGATGCCTTTCATACATGTGCCTGCAGAGCACCCTTCCTCCTTTCACACACTGCAGGGATGCCTTTCATACATGTGCCTGCAGAGCACCCTTCCTCCTTTCACACACTGCAGGGATGCCTTTCATACATGTGCCTGCAGAGCACCCTTCCTCCTTTCACACACTGCAGGGATGCCTTTCATACATGTGCCTGCAGAGCACCCTTCCTTCTTTCACACACTGCAGGGATGCCTTTCATACATGTGCCTGCAGAGCACCCTTCCTCCTTTCACACACTGCAGGGATGCCTTTCATACATGTGCCTGCAGAGCACCCTTCCTCCTTTCACACACTGCAGGGATGCCTTTCATACATGTGCCTGCAGAGCACCCTTCCTCCTTTCACACACTGCAGGGATGCCTTTCATACATGTGCCTGCAGAGCACCCTTCCTCCTTTCACACACTGCAGGGATGCCTTTCATACATGTGCCTGCAGAGCACCCTTCCTCCTTTCACACACTGCAGGGATGCCTTTCATACATGTGCCTGCAGAGCACCCTTCCTCCTTTCACACACTGCAGGGATGCCTTTCATACATGTGCCTGCAGAGCACCCTTCCTCCTTTCACACACTGCAGGGATGCCTTTCATACATGTGCCTGCAGAGCACCCTTCCTCCTTTCACACACTGCAGGGATGCCTTTCATACATGTGCCTGCAGAGCACCCTTCCTCCTTTCACACACTGCAGGGATGCCTTTCATACATGTGCCTGCAGAGCACCCTTCCTCCTTTCACACACTGCAGGGATGCCTTTCATACATGTGCCTGCAGAGCACCCTTCCTCCTTTCACACACTGCAGGGATGCCTTTCATACATGTGCCTGCAGAGCACCCTTCCTCCTTTCACACACTGCAGGGATGCCTTTCATACATGTGCCTGCAGAGCACCCTTCCTCCTTTCACACACTGCAGGGATGCCTTTCATACATGTGCCTGCAGAGCACCCTTCCTCCTTTCACACACTGCAGGGGTGCCTTTCATACATGTGCCTGCAGAGCACCCTCCCTCTTTTGCTTCCCTTTCCTGCCCCTACCCTCACATCCCAGGCTTGCGTGTGTGTCCATCACAGACCAGTTCGTGCATTCTCGTCTTGCCTCTGAGCACTACACTGCTGGCTGCCTTTCATTCATGTGCTCTCCTTTGCACCTCCCCCCTCCCCTTCCCTCTCACCTCTCCCTCCCTTTCCTTTTATCCCCCCCAGGCTTGCGTGTGTGTCCATCACGGACCAGTTCGTGCACTCTCGTCTTGCCCCCGAGCACTACACTGCTGGCTGCCTCGACCTGGAGGAGAAGGTGGGGGCTGTGTGTGTGTGTGTGTGTGTGTGTGTGTGCGTGCGTGCGTGCGTGTGTACGTGTGTGTGTGTGGGGATAGGGCGAGCGACGTGTTGAGGGGGGAGCGTGTGTGGCTGTGCATCTCCTGTCCTCCCTTTTTAGTGTTCCCCAAGCACGATCGTGTGTTTGCGCGTTCACAATGCGTGTGCACGCTATCCACGCTTCCACACTTTTGAGACTCAAAAGTCAACTCCCTTTGAGTGTCTCCCAAGCACGATCGTGTGTGTGCGCGTTCACAATGCGTCTGCGCGCTATCCACGCTTCCACACTGTCTCCCATTTCCACTCTCACTCTCCTCCTGTGTCTTTCCCTTCCCCATTTGCTTCCTGTCTTTCTGCTTCCACTCTCCCCACTCACCCACCCCACCCCACCCCAACCCACCCCACCCCAACCCAACCGCACACGGCGCAGGTGACGACAGCAGCGGCCATGGAGGCGCCACGGACTGCAGTGATGGAGGATGGCGTGTCTGTCAAGCTACCGGACATGGGCCGAATACAGTTCCAACACGAGTCAGTCCCGTCCCACCCCCTGTGCTGCCCTGCGCCCCACCCCCTCCGTTCCCCTACCACCTCTCGCTCGCTTGCCTTTCATTGACATTCCCTGATATTTTCCACGGTTGCGCTCTCACCTGTGCTGACTGACTGACTGACTGTACTGACTGACTTTCCTCCTCTCCCGGCTATATTCCCCTCCACCAATCGCGTTTGCTCGCCCTAATTTTCCCTCCCCTCCCTCCCACCCTCCCCTCCCCTCTCCCCTCTCCTCCCCTCCCCTCTCCTCCCCTCCCCACCCCCCTCCTCTTCCCCCCATACCCCCCCAGGCTGCGGCTCATGTGCCTCCCGCGCTGGAACCTCTTTGACTCGCTGCTCTACTCCTCCTATCCCGCCACCAAGCTCAAGACCTGGACGGAGCCCGGGCTCAGGCGCCTGTCCCCATGTCTCTCTTCTCCCCTATCCTCCCCTCACTACCCTCCACGCTCCCGCCCACTCTCCCCTCCCCTTTCTCCCATCCTCTCCTCCCCCCCTCCCTTCCCTCCCCTCTCTTCCCCCTCCCCCCCTTTCTCCCGCCCTCTCTTCCCCACCCATTTCACCCTCCCAGGCTGCGGCTCATGTGTCTGCCGCGCTGGAACCTCTTTGACTCGCTGCTCTACTCCTCCTATCCCGCCACCAAGCTCAAGACCTGGACGGAACCCGGGCTCAGGCGCCTGCGCCTGCTGCTGGGCCAGCTCGGCATCCCGCACGCGCAGGCCAAGCAGCGCTACCCCTTCATGCCCGCTGCCACTCGCAGGTGGGGTGGGGGACAGGAGGGGAAGTGGGGCGGGAGGTGGGGCAGGGGGTGGGGCAGGGGTGGTTGGGACTGGGATTAGGGTGGAGAGGAGAGCTGGGTCAGCTGGGCATCCCGCACGCGCAGGCCAAGCAGCGCTACCCCTTCATGCCCGCTGCCACTCGCAGGTGGGGTGGGGAACAATGGGGGGGTGGGGACGAATGGGGGTTGGGCAAGGGTGGTTGGGGGGTTTTGGGTTAAGTATGGGCCAGCTCGGCATCCCCCTCGTGCAGGCCAAGCAGCGCTACCCCTTCATGCCCGCTGCTACACGCAGGTGGGCGAGGAGGGAATGGGGGGGAAGCGGGATGTTTGGAGGCTAGGTTGGAGGGAGAAGGACGGACAGGTGGATGGGTCAGCTGGGGAGGGGGGGCGTGAGTAGGCCAAGCAGCGCTGCTGCCCCCTTGATGCATGCTGCGGAAGGGGGGGATGAGAAGTTGTATAAAAAGGAAGGATTCGAACCACATCAAGCTGTGGGATGAGAAGTATGAGGGAGGGAGGGTTAACCCATGCTGACTTTTGAGTCGACTCAAAAGTCAACTGCAGAAGTGGTGGGGATGAGAAGTTGTATGAGAGCGGGTGAGCCTGTTCCATCCATATCCACCATCCTGTGCGTCTCTATCCTCGCCCAACCAGCACTCACACTGCCCTTGTGTTCCTTTTCTTCTTCCCCCCTAGCCTGCAATTCTACCTTTTCCGTGAAATGCCTGTTCTCCCTTCGTTCCTGGCCTGCCCCTCATGCTCTACTCATCTGCACTCCTCCTTCCTTCCATCCCTCCCTCCCTCCCTCCCTCCCTCCCTCCCTCCCTCCCTCCCTCCCTCCCTCCCTCCCTCCCTCCCTCGCCCGCCCCCGCCTCCCCCTCCGCCACTCTCCCCCTGTCTCTCCTCCCTGTGTGTGTGCCTGGCGGTGCAGTCGCCTAAAGGACGACGTGCAGCGCTTTGGTCCGAGCCACGGGCTGTCGGACATGTGCTACCGCGCGTTCCACCGATACAACGGATACAAGTGAGCCACAAGGCGGGAGGGCGGGAGGGCAGGTGCGCGTGCGTGCGTGAGTGTGGTGTGGTGTGTGTGCAATAGGTGCGTGCATGTGTGCGTGGCTAGTGCCTGTGCGGGCTGTCGGACATGTGCTACCGCGCCTTCCACCGATACAACGGATACAAGTGAGTCGCTGGGGGGGAGGGCCAGAGCCTGTGAATGAGTGTGGGTGGTGTGTGGGCGTGTGTGTGTGTGTGCGCGCCCACGCGCGCACGCATGCATGTATGTGTTTGTGCGGGCCTCCTGCCGCCACCCCACGGCACCAGGTTCCACGTTTCAGCGCCCGACGTGGTGCTCTGTTGAAAGAGAAGAAATGAGCACGCACTCACACTGCTGTGCGTCCTTCTTCACCCCCACTACGAAAATGGCCTTGTCTTGTTTCCCGCACATCACCACGTTCCACGTGTCAGCATCAGACGTAATGCTCAGCATACCGCTGCGCTGCTGCAAGGGTTTGTTTTTATCATGTGCCCTCCCGTGCCTCCTCCGTTCCCCAGCCCATTGTCAGAATGCCCTCGCCTCACCACCCACCAGGTTCCATGTGTCGGCATCAGACGTGGTGATGCCGTATGGCATCACAGCGCTGCTGGAGAGCCACTCCCCTGCCGACTCACGCGGCTCTTGTTCCCATTCTTGCCCTTCTCCTCTCTCCCCCCACCACCATCCCTGTGCCCCTCCCTCACCAGGTTCCACGTGTCGGCATCAGACGTGGTGTATGGCATCACAGCGCTGCTGACAGTGAGCGCGCGCTCCTTCCCTTGCGTTCGCCCCCACCCCCAATACCGCAATGCCATTGTCGGGCCACCACCCACCAGGTTCCACGTGTCGGCATCAGACGTGGTGTATGGCATCACAGCGCTGCTGGAGAGCCACTCGCCGGCACCCACAGGGCTTGCACCCGGGGACAATGGCGCCGCACACGCTCACACCAACGACTCCTTCTGGACTGCTCTCTCCGCCCTGCATTTGTATGCCCCCGCCCGGCTTCGCTTGCTCTGCTACGCTCGCCCTGCTGTGCCCGCCTGCCCCCCTCGCTCTGCTCCCCTTTCTCTGCCTCCCTCGCTCTGCCTCCCTCGCTCTGCCTCCCTCGCTATGGTACCCTGTCTTGGCTATCCCCTCTCTCACACGGCGATGCCTCATACTGCTCTCGCTCAACCTGTGCATCCTCTCTTCCACTCCCGCCCTGTAGCTACCTTCCACTACCATGCTTTGCTGTTTGCTCTCAATTCTCTCAGCGCTCCACCTTCCTAGCTGCGTCTCTCCAACCCTCCCATCTCGACCTTGCTGGCAATGCCCTCAGTGCCCCTGCATCTTCTGTCCCACATGCACCGCTGCCCGTCCTTTCATCTGCCTCAGTTGCTGTCCAAGCCAGTACCCTACAGTCTGTTCCACTTCCTGCTATCTTTCCCCGCTTTTCCTTTTGCCATGCGACTGTGACAGACGCGGGTGGAAGCAGCTGGAGGAGGGCATGGATCTGGCCATCCGCATGCAGGCAGCGCTGGTCCGCCAGGGCAGCCTTGCCATCGCCAAGAAGGTCAGTCAGCCCCACTCCTGCCGTCGCTGCTGCTTGTGTGGGGTGGGGTGGGGTGGGGTGGAGTGTGGCGTGGTTGGGTGTGGTGGGTTGGCGCATGTAAGTATGTGCCCCTGGGTAACGCTTGCAGAACGTGTGCTCCGGCGGGCCACTCTTTTCTATGCCTCTCCCCTCAACCCCCCTCTCCCCACACCCCGCCAGGGCGCCATCCGCAGCACGTGTGGGCGGCATCGATTCTGTTACATTTGCTGGACGACCACAGCGACGTGCGCTTCATCGCCTCATCCTTCCACTACCCCCCTCCCTCCTCCCTTCCCCATTCCCTCCTCTCCCTTTCCCCCCATCCCCCCCCCTCTCCACGCCAGGGCGCCATCCGCAGCACGTGTGGGAGGCATCGGTTCCGCTACATGCTGCTGGACGACCACAGCGACACATGCCTCATTGCCTCATCCCACTACCCCCCTTCCACCCCCTTCCCCTCCGCCTCATCAGGGCGCCATCCGCAGCACGTGTGGGAGGCACCGGTTCCGCTACATGTTGCTGGACGACCACAGCGACGCACGCCTCATTGCGCACCCCCTCGCGCTCACGCGCCTGCTGCTCTTCCTCATGGACGCACTCAAGGTGGGGGCGGGGAGGAAACTGGGGGGAAGGACGGGGAGGGGAAGAAGAGGGAAGGAGTGGGGTTGGAGGCTCATTGCGCACCCTCACGCGCCTGCTGCTCTTCCTTATGGACGCGCTCAAGGTGGGGTGGAGGGAGACGGGAATATGGGGGGTTGGGAAGGTGCTTGTAAGGCAAATAGACTGTTGCTCATTACCCACCACCACCTCGCGCTCACTCGCTTGCTGCTCTTCCCCATGGACGCGCTCAAGGTGGGGTGAGGGGGGAGAGAAGGGAAACTTAGGGGGGTTGGGAAGGTGCCTATAAGGCAAATAGACCGTTGCTCATTACCCACCATCCCCTCGCACTCACGCGCCTGCTGCTCTTCCTCATGGACGCACTCAAGGTGGGGAAGAGGGGAGAAGGAGTGGGGTTGGAGGTGCCTCTAAAGCAAGATAGAGCGAGCGCACCTCATTGCACACACCCTGGCACTCAGACCCCTGCTGCTCTTTCTCATGGACGCACTCAAGGCGGGGGGAAGGGGATGGAGCTAGTGGGGAGAAAGAGGAGGAATGGGGGGATTCGGGCCTTTGAGTCAAGTAAGAAAGACCCCGGCTCATTACTCACCCCCTGGCGCCCACCCGCCTGCTGCTCTTCCTCATGGCCGCACTCAAGGTGGGGGGAAGGGGAAATCGAGCAGGGAGGGGGAAGGTAAAGAGGGGATGGAGGTGTCTCTAAGTGGTGTGAGAGAGTGGGCGTTGCGCACTCCGTGGCACACTCCCTCGCTTGCTGCTCTTCCTCAAGAGGGGTAGATTGGGTGGTGCGCAGGCTTATGAATCATGTTTTGAGACGTCTCAAAACACGAATCATGCGTCATTTCCTCGTTCCCTCACAGCGGCCTTGTGCTGTCACACACTGAATGCTTCCGAGACCTGAGGCACCTTGAAGAGTACTGTACCCCTGGGTACCGCTTAGACTGTGCGTAATTGCTGCATTTTCATGTGACCCCATTTCATGTGACCGTGTCTCTTTCATTGTCTCGCTCCTCATCCTGCCTGCTCATCACCCTCCCTTCTCTGGCCCGCTGTCACCACCAGCGTTCAATAGGGGGCGCCGCTCCCTTCTCTGCGTGCAAGGGGGGCCGCCTCGCCCCATGGTGGTTGCGGCATCACTGCCAGAAGAAAGGGAAGAAAGAAAAGCGGTCTCAACTCACGCTGATGGCCTTTCAGATAACTCAAACCCGTTCATCATTCCCTACCAACGACTCTCTCCCATCTGCCATCCCCCCCCTCTGTCCCCACCCTCCCAGGAGCAAGGCGAGCGGCCGCGCCCCATGGTGGTTGCGGCATCACTGCCATCATCCCCATCAGCACTCATCGTGGGACTGTCGCACAAACCAAGGCTCGGCCAACTCATGGGCAAGTATGTATCCTACTCCACTCGACTCATCACTATTACAGAAACCCTGTAGTTGCTTGCTAACCGTGAACTGACCTCCTCCCCCCCCTTTTCCTTCGCCAACCCCTCCTCCACACACCACTACTAAACGATTCCGTACACCCTTGCCCCTTGGCGCTCTCCAGTTTTGATGCGCCTCAGTAATGATCTGCATTCGTGTGGTTCACTGCCCTTCCCTCGCCACACACTAAACCTCTTCCCTGCCTCGCCACCACTGCTCGGCCTCCCCCACCGCTCCGCCCGCCCTCTCACACACCTGCCGCCCTCCCACTCACTCCCCCCCCTCTTCCGACCGACCCTCCCGATCACCCACCCGCCTGTACCCATCAGCACGTTTGGCGTTGCGTTTGCGCGGGCGGGGGAGCGGCTGGGGGGCGCGTGTGGGTACCGGCAGGACATGTTTGAATCATCGTGTGCCGTGCTGCAGCGCACGCACGTCTCCCACTTCTTCCGCCACCTGGAGGAGGTCATGAATGACGACAGCGCCGATGCAGTGAACCTGGACATGGGCATGGGCTTGGGTGTGGGCATGGGTGCGGGCATGGGTGCGGGCGTGGGTATGGGTATGGATATGGGTGGGGGTGGGGCTGGGGGTGAAGGGGAGGGGGGGAGCATGGGCATGGGTGTGGGTGGGGATGTGGGTGGAGGTGTGAGTGGAGGTGTGAGTGGGGGTGTGGGTGGGGGTGTGGGTGGGGGTGTGGGTGGGGGTGTGGGTGGGGGTGTGGGTGGGGGTGTGGGTGGGGCTGCAGGGCAGGATGGTAGGGCAGGTGAGAATGGGCCGGGCTTTCGTGCTGCAGGGGGAGCTGAGGCGGGAGTTGAGGCGGGAGAGAACAATGGCAGCAGTAGAGGTGGTGATGGGGACGGGGAAGAATCGGGCGCTGCTGCTGCTGCTGCTGCTGCTGCTGCTGTTGCTGATGATAGGGACGCTTCTGCTGCTGCTGCTCCTGATAGTGCTGGTGATGATGATGATGGTGCTGCTCATGCTGCTGCTGCTGATGCTGATGCTGATGCTGATGCTGATGCTGATGCTGATGCTGATGCTGATGCTGAAGGTATCCAGAAGGCCGGTGACAGTGATGACGACAATGAAGCTGATGCTGCTAATGGGATCCAGTCTGGAACTTGAGCTTTCGGTACCGTGGTATAGCATGGTGATGACATGACATGACATGACATGACATCTGCACCACCACCATACTACACTTGGGATCCTTTAGCGTTACGGTACCCCTGTGTACAGGAGGGCGTAGCTTATCACCTATTGCCAGCAGGCCAAAACAGCGATTTTATGCCATTTTACACTACAAATCTAATAAAAATTCATGCTTCTTTTCAACAAATTGCTGAAATATCAGCCTCAGTTCTAAAAAAGGTCTGAAATCTCAGCCTTTTTTACCTATTTCAGCCATTTTTCGCTGACTTCTGAGGCCCTGCCCCCTGGCCCGTGTCCAATCACCACACTGATTTTCTGACGGGGCACATATACCGTTACCGTACCACCCCACCAGTACCGCCAGAAGGGCGTGGAGGGAGCCATGTTTTGCTACAGGAAATCAAGAAACGTTTGAAAGACCATGTTCCTAAATTTGGTGTACATCATCCGAGACACAAAGCCCATTATCTCAAATTAACCATGACATACAGCTCACTAAAAGGGAAAAAAAACGCATTATGAGCTGTCAAAAGTTCATTCTACTGTATCTATGCATCTGAATCCTCCCTGCGCGCGCCAGCAGCTCCTCGGGCAAGTCCCTCAAATCGTTGCACCTCTCCAAATGCACCTCCCGCAAGCTCCTCGCGCTCTCCAACCCCTCGGGTAGCTCGCTCAACCTTTCGCACTTCTGCACGTTCAGCACATGCAGCGAAGCCAGGCGAGAGACGGCCGCGGGCAGCTTGAGCAGCCGTGGCAGGTTTTTCAGCGTGAGAGAGATGAGAGAGGAGAGATTGCCGAATCCGTCTTCTGGTAGAGAGGAAAAGCTCTCACAGTCGGAGACCATGAGGTGCTGCAGGGAGGTGAGGAGGGTGAGGGAGGCGGGCAGAGTTGATAGCTTCGGCGCATTGTCTACGGTTACAACGTGCAGCCCTTGCATCTGCCCGAGGTCCTCGGGCAGGTTGAAAAGTTGCATGTGGGTGAGATGAAGGCGTTGGAGGTGAGTGAGGGCTGTGATCGAAGGAGGGAGCAGGGCGAGCTGGGGGAGGGTGTGGAGGGTCAGGATTCTCAGTTGCTGTAGTGTGTGGATGTTGGGTGTTGAGAGGGAGGAGATTTGGGACAAGTCAAAAAGAGAAAGGCTTTCCAGGGAGGATGCAATGGGAATGGTTTTGAGAGATGGGATGTGTTCGCAGTTTCAGTAGCAGCAGCGGCAGCAGGAGGAGGGGGGGTAAGTGGTGGCAGCGTGTAAAGCAGCTTGCAGCGAGAGAGCTCTAACTCCCGCAAGCCCACGAGGTTGCCCCACCCTGCGGGCATTTCCCTCAGCTTGCTACAGTTGGAGATGCACAGCCGCTGCAGGCGAGTCAGCTGGGTGAACGATGCTGGCAGCTGCTGAAGCTCGTGGCACCCATGAATTTCTAGGGCAGTTAAGGAATTCGCGAGCTGCCCGAACGTGCTCGGGAGGTCAGTGAAAGCGGTTCTTGGCGTATTTCCGTCATAGTAAGAACGAACCGGGTCAAACACGTAGGTTGCTACACCTAGCTTCCGATCTTCCCTTTTAGTCACCAAACCCTTCCATCCGAGAGTAAGGCTTTCGAGGCCGGGCAGTTGCGAAAGCGATTCAGGGAGGGTTTCCAGCCGTTCGCAGCCAGCTATTTCCACTGTCCGGAGCGCCGTCAGCTGCCCGATATTTTCGGGCAGGGTTTCGAGATTGTTACAGCCATGGAGGGTAAGGTTTTCAAGCTGAGTGAGAGTGGCCGGCAGAGGGTGCCGAAACGCACAGCGATCTACAATGAGCCGCCGCAGCTTCAGCAGCTGAACGAATGATCCCGGCAAATCGCAGGCCACTTTGTTCAAATGCAGCTCGGTCAGCGCGGACAGCTGCCCGAAATCTTCGGGTAGCGATCTCAAAGAGCACTCGAGAAGCTGCAGGCGAGAGAGGGAGTTCATCCCCGCGACAGACGCCGGCAGCGACGCTAGAACCATACACCCCGCCGCGTGAAGGTGCGTTAGGGAGGAGAGGAGACCGAGAGAGTCCGGAATAGCCGTAAGGGAGTTAAGCTTGTCGAGAACGAGGGATGCGAGGCGGGGAGCGTCACCAATATCCTCCGGTAACGAGGCGAGGGCAGTGCAGTGATAAACGGTGAGCGCAGTGAGGGAGGAGAGGGCGGAGAGCGAGGGCAGGAGGGCGGATAAGGAAGAGCAAGACTTGATGGTCAGTTCTTGCAGTGAGGGCAGCTTTCCGACGCAGTCAGGAAGCGATCGCAGGTGCTGGATGCTAGAGATAAAGAGGCGTTTGAGGGAGGAGAGGTGGGCGAAGGAGTCTGGGAAAGTGCTGACAGCGATCGCGCGCAGGTGGAGGGTTTCGAGGGAAGACAAGAGGCCGATAGAGTCGGGCAGGGATTGCATGTGAAATGAGCCCGCCAGCTCCAGGTATTGCAGTTTTTTTAGCTGCCCGAGACCGTCGGGCAGCTGCCGGAGGGAACTGCAGCCGTCGAGTTTCAGCGAGGTGAGGGAGCGGAGGCGGGAGAGGGAGTGCGGGAGGGCGCGTATGCAAGCAGCGCGGATGCTAAGCGACCGTAACGCGGACAGCGAACCAACGCCCTCGGGGAACCGCGCCTCGGGCTCTGACGTCGTAGCGGCATCATCATCACCATCATCGACCGCCCTGGAAAAATAATCGAGCTGGCCGCACGAAACTTCCAGTCTCGTCAGCCGCTGCAGGAGACTCACGGAAGCGGGCAGCTCGGGCAGGCACAGAGGCAGTGTGAGTTTCAGGCTGACCAGGCGGCGGCATGCGGCGAAAAGGGCGGTAACGGCGGGCTCTGTTACTGTCGCGACGGCGTCGTCAGGGTATTCAACGAGGAGCTCCCGCTGCCAGGAGCGCAGGTTCCTGTGGCGGTACAGCGACATGTGCGTGAGGGAGGGCGCGCATCCCGTGGCGATGGAGTAAAGGAGATCTTCTGTTATGGCGTCTAGAGCCGATGGGCCGATGTGCAGGTGCTGCAGGGTGAGCGGGGAGTGGAGGGGAAAGGAGTGGGAAACGGCGGAGGCGGAGGCGGGAGTGGGAGGGGCAAGGGAGAGGGAGAGGGGTAGGGGAGGGGATGAGGCGGAAGGAGGAGGTGGGGAGGAGAGGAAGGAGCGGAAGGTTTGGGTGGAAAGGCGATGGTCGGCTTGCAGGAGGATGGCGGGGAGGCTGAAGCGCGCCAAGCGGAGCCATCGCTTGCACACGAGTGCGTGGTGGAACACGGTGAACGGCGGAAGCGGAAGCGGACAGGGAAGCGGAGGCGGAAGGAGCGTGGAGGTCGTGCGGGCTCCGGAGGGGGAGGGCGGAAAGGCGGAGGCGAGGATATGCACAGCTGACGGTGAGTTCGGTTTGTCCGGGTCGATAGGGACCGTCATGGTTCGATCGTAGTTGGCGGCGGTCGCTGCGGCCTCGAGAGCTATGGCGGTGGTGAGCTCAACAACGCGTACGAAACGCGCGCACGGTTTCTTCACTGCCCGCTCAATGCACTCGTGCAGCTCGTCCTCGCTCTTTTCGCCACGAGCATCGTCGTCCTCGCTGTTGCCGGCACCGTCACTCCCGTCTCCACCGGCATTAGCCTCCGCAGCGGCAGAAACGGCGACAGCGGCGGCGGCGGCGGCGGTAGTGGCGGCGTCAGAAGTAGCAGCGGCGGTTGTGAGGCACGGTTTGGGGTGGAAACGGAATCCGTTGGAGGCGACGAGAGCGAGTATGTGAGCGACGAGATCGTCTGAGAGACGCGCGAAAGGATCGGGTTCGAGGCGGCGTGGCGGGGGTGGTGACGAACCGATGTTGAACGAATCCATGTCAGACGCCACGTCGTCGAAGTTGCGCGGCAGACGGGACGAAGGAGCCGCACGTTGTGATTTTCTTGAAAGCCGTCGAAGGAAGAAAGGTGCGAGACTGTCTGGCGCCGTGAGCCACGGAGGTAGAGGATATTGCAAGAGTGAAAGAGAAAGGGAAAGTTTGGTCAGAGCTAGCAACGGCAAGTAGCGGGGTCTGAAATATGATCACTTAGAGTAGAAGAGGAGTTAGAAATTTCAGTCCTCTTGAGATTTCTCGGCACAGTGAATGATGATGCACCACCGTACAGATACCCACTGAACCGAACGGAAACACATCAAACAACAGACTCTATCCCAACCGCGCATCTTGATCGGCAGAGACTCGAGGCGCGATGACGATCACACCACATCGCAGAACCCAATTTAGCCGCCCGTCCCTGGGGAATGGCATTGCCTGGGAAATGGGATCGCACGCATCGCACGCCGTCGTGATTTGAACGCGAAAGTCGTCTTCGCGAGACTTGTTTCCGTGAAGGCGTGATGCTTGCAATTTTACAGGCAAGCAGCCTACGTAAGGCGCATGTTACAACACATTCGATTTCCATTTATTTCAATGGTGTACGGTACCTTAATTGCTACATCCACGCCATATCTGCTAAGCATTAGTTCATAAATGCTCCACCACTTGCCCTTACCACACAAAGATGAAGACGTGATTTTATTCTCAAGCTATTCAATCGTCCACATTGGCCGCAGTTGTGACAACTGGTCCTGATGCTCCATCTTGCACTCTCTAACCTGGTTACGAATGCCCTTACACACCCAAACGCAATCTCACAAGGCATGAGTCACGACTCATGACACCTCGTAACCATGTACAAAAACAACACAGAGGGCGAACTGTCTCAGCCAAAGACTCAGTGATGCAGCAATATGGTCACCAGTCAAGGCCAAGATCACGTGAAGCAAACAAAGATTCTGTGGATGTACCGTAACTGAACAGCCTGAAAAGGAGCAGTTTTTTTAGAGACACTGTTAACGCAGTGAAGAAAGACGTAACAATGAAACAAATTGGACACCCAAGTTACAAGTATGGCAAACTCAACACTTCAAATTGTCGGGTAAGCATCTTGAGTACACTGCATGATGGACTGGTGGTGGTGGTGGTAGTTGTGGTGGGCCCTTCTATCCCATGCTCCATCAAGTGCCCTCTACACTCCACTAGCAGCTTGCCGGGCAGCGAAGGCTCTATTCGAAAAGACGTAGCGTGGAGGGGGGAGGGTGGGTCGGAGGTTGATGCGCCTCGGCAACAGTGCCAGCAGCAAGAGCAGCAGCAGCAGCAACATGGCTAGTGGGAGTAGCTGCGGTAGCAGCAGGTTATAAAGCGGCTGGAATCCCGAGAGATCAGAGGCGATTCCTGCAGACAGGGCGGATGAGACACGAGGGAGGAGAGTACCATGAAAATAGCAAAGCAGGGTACGTGTGGAGGAAAATTCGGAGGAGGTAACAGGAAAATGTGAAGGGAGGGGTTGTGCACACAAGCACAAGCACACACAACGCCGCTGGTCCGCGGCATATGGAGGAGAGCAGGTCATACTCCCAGCACGAGTCCACTGCCACGGGTTCACTTGCCTGGGAATGGTCGTGCGCGCCGCGCGTGCGCGCACACACACACACAATAGTAGCCAGCAAGGGCATTAGCGGGCAGGCAGGCATACCTTGAGGTATACAAGTGCCAGCAGCAGTCCCTGGCGTGTACCCCTCATCACACGTGCACTGCGCCCGGCCTTCATTGGGGTTGCAGAACGACGGCGGGTGCTCATCCTTACACACAGGCAGGTCAGAAGAGGGGTTAGGCACGATGGAGCACACGCCATGGCCGCTGCACGGCGGGGTGAGAAACTGCGCCCCACAGAACGACCGGCACTCCCTGTCACGCCTCTGGGGCTGGAATTCCCTGCAGAAGACCCCGCGGGTGCTAAGGCAGCCGTGCTGCATCTCATAGTTGCATCCGATCGGTTCGCTTGCAAGGCAGTTCTTGTAGACGTACAAGACGGGGCATCCGGAGGTACCGTTGCAGGGAGTGGAAGTGGTGGGGCATTGAGGGAGTGGGTTTGCTGTGGCTTTGAGGTAGTTTTCTTCAGCGTGCAGGTATTGGAGGTGTGCCATGCGGTGGATGCCTGGCAGCGGCCCTACCAGCTGGTTGTTGGCAACGTAGCTGGACTCAGGTGGGACGATGATTGGAGGGCAAGAGGATTGAAGGGAAAGTGGATTGAAAGGAAAGTGGATTGAAAGGAAAGTGGATTGAAAGGAAAGAGGATTGAAAGGAAAGTCGATTGAAAGGAAAGTGGATTGAAAGGAAAGTCGATTGAAAGGAAAGTGGATTGAAAGGAAAGAGGATTGAAGGGAAAGTGGATTGAAGGGAAAGTGGATTGAAAGGAAAGTGGATTGAAGGGAAAGTGGATTGAAGGGAAAGAGGGAAGGGAAGGGGAAGATGGGGGGGGGGGAGGGGAAAAAAAAAGAGGCCCGATGAGAAGGAGGTGCAAAGCGAACGAGAGTTGGTTGTTGGAGGGGTTGAGTCTTGCCAAAGTTCCGCAAAAATTCCACTATCCTCCCTTCTTATGCATTCTCCTTCACTTCGTAGACCCAGAATGGGGAAGGCGAAGCAGAAGAAGAACTCGTTATTTTGTTTTTTTTCCCATAATTTCATTGGTCGGATAAGCAGGAAATGCACATGAAGATGAGGTGAAGCGGGTGGAGCCCATTCGTTCACAAGGGAATTTGAGGGGCCTCAAAGTTCGTTCACAAGGGATTTTGAGGGGCCTCAAAGTTCGTTCACAAGGGGAAGAAGGCTAGGCGCCATGAGATGCATTTAAGAACGGTAAGGAGCAATTCATATGTTTTGGAGTCCCTGTTGAGAATTCTAATATGGTTGCGCTCTTTTGCAACCACAGGGGGACAGGCGGGTGGTTGGCAGATTTCAACAAATGGTCATGCGAGCAGTAGGGATGGTATTTCTTGAAAGATTTGACAGAGAAGAAATAGCTTCACATAGAGAGTAACACTGACAGTTCTCTGAGGTTAGTGAGTCGGCTGATGTCAGCAGGTATGGTCCCTGCAAGGCGATTGTCGCAGAGATATCTGGAGATGGGTGGATGGTGGATGGTGGATGGTGGATGGTGGATGGTGGATGGGCATGGGAAGGAGAAGAGGGCCGAGATGGTGCCTTGAAAGAGTGAAGGCACGGTTGCTTTGTGTGAGATGTAAGATGTGAGATGTGAGATGTGTGTGCTTTGAGTAACATGCCATGCACACACGCGGCACATGCACTCCCTCCCTCCCTCCCTCTTTCCCTCTTTCCCTCCCTCCCTCCCTCCCTCCCTCCCTCCCTCCCTCCCTCCCTCCCTCCCTCCCTCCCTCCCTCCCTCCCTCCCTCCCTCCCTCCCTCCCTCCCTCCCTCCCTCCCTCCCTCCCTCCCTCCCTCCCTCCCTCCCTCCCTCCCTCCCTCCCTCCCTCCCTCCCTCCCTCCCTCCCTCCCTCCCTCCCTCCCTCCCTCCCTCCCTCCCTCCCTCCCTCCCTCCCTCCCTCCCTCCCTCCCTCCCTCCCTCCGAGCAGATACAATCACGGCAGGCGCCGAGTGGTTGAAAACAAGTGGCAGGCAGAATGAAAGGCATGGAGAAAGGAGTAGGGTGGAGGGGGAATGGGCGCACAGGCTGGTGAGTGCGGTGAGGTGGGCAATGGAGGCGGGAATGGTGCCACTCAGCCTGGTTTGAAACAAAAGCCTGCCCAAATTACAAATGCGCAAGCAAAAAGAATTGAAAGCATGGGAAAAGGTCAACATGACGAATGCCATCAACATATCCCTTCTCAAGACCACACGGCCTCTGCCTTTTCCAAGTATGGCTAACTTGGTGCACTGTATCATACACACACTACTTGAATTTTGAATCGACTCAAAGTTAACTCTGTGTGCTTTATCATACACACACTACTAGACCCGGTGCTTTCTGGTGGAGTCTGCTTTCTGGTGGACCCAAGCTTCAACTTCAAGTCAAGTCATCTGCTTGTTGCTCTCTTGAAGCTGAAAATGCCTCGCCTTGTCATGCCCTGCTCGTCCTTACATTTCTTGCAGGTTGGTGAGCGCTCCAATTGACTCGGGGATGGGCCCTGAAAGTTTTTGCCTGCCAAGGTTCCTGAGGTTGTGTGCGGTACAGTGCGGCGAAGTGTGATGTCGAGTGGTATAGTGTGGATGAAGTAGGAGAAAGGAGGGGATGGGGAGAAGTGTGATACGGGAGAAGGGGAGAGAGGAGGATGAGAGCAAGGTGACCTCGTGTAGGTCAGGGTGAATCATGCCAAGGTGCAAATTGGGTGTGGTGGAGCAGCTTGTAGAGGGGATGCATAACCTCGCATGCATCAGCAGTGCTTGCAGCACTAGCAGCAGTGCATGCATCAGCAGTGCACTGATATAGTGGAAGCACTTTGCGTCATTCACCCTGACGCAGCACCATCGTTACTCATTCAATGTGCCTGTAATAGCACATACGGGTGCCTCCACTCACCCTCTCACTCACTCACTCGTTCAATCGCCCACTCACTCACTCACTCACTCAATCGCCCACTCACTCAATCAGTTACTCGCAAACTCACGCACTTGTTTACTCACCCACTCACTCACTCATTCACTCGCCCACTCACCCACTCACTCACTCACTCACTACCCACTCACTCACTCACCCACTCACTCACTCACCCACTCACTCACTCACTCACTCACCCACTCACTCACTCACCCACCCACTCTCCCGCTCACTCACTCACTCTCTCACCCACTCACTCACCCACTCACTCACTCATCCACTCACTCACACACTCACTCACCCACTTACTCACTCACCCACTCACTCACTCACTCACCCACTTACTCACTCACCCACTCACTCACTCACTCACCCACTCACTAAAGCACTCAATGATCCCTCCATGGCACCGTGCATGCCTACCCTATCACCACTCACAACTTCTGCAGGTGTTTTAGGTTGCCGATTGCGTCTGGGATGGGGCCTGAAAGCCCATTTCTCTCGAGATTCCTGGTGCATGGATAGGCCGGGTTTAAGTGGAGGAGGTTGAAATTAAGCGGGGGAAAGGGAGGAGGGGGAGGGGACGGAGAGATGGCGAGGGCGGAGAGGGGGAGGGCAGAGAGGGGGAGGGCAGAGCGGTGGAGGGCAGAGAGGGGGAGGGCAGAGTGGGGGAGGGCAGAGAGGGGGAGGGCAGAGTGGGGGAGGGCGGAGAGGAGGAGGGCAGAGTGGGGGAGGGCGGAGAGGAGGAGGGCAGAAGGGGGGAGGGCTGAGAGGGGGAGGGCAGAGGGGGGGAGGGCAGAGGGGGGGAGGGCTGAGAGGGGGAGGGCAGAGGGGGGGAGGGCATAGGGCGGGAGGGCAGAGGGTGGGAGAGCAGAGGGTGGGAGGGCAGAGGGTGGGAGGGCATGGAGATGTGGGAAACATTGGAGATGGAGGGCGAGGAGTGCAGTTAACCAAAACCAGAGAGGAGAGAATGGAACGGGGAACGAGCAGCGAGAGTAAAGAAGCACATGGTTGTGTTTCTATCAGAATATAAAAGTCCCCGTGCGTGCAACATGGAATGGTTGTGCATGGTGAGAAAGATGTGGGGAGATGGTGCATGGCATGGCATGGCATGGCATGGCATGGCATGGCATGGCATGGCATGGCATGGCATGGCATGGCATGGCATGGCATGGCATGGCAGATGGTGCTGTAAGTACTTGAGTTGAGCTGGTGAATTGATATATCTTGGGTGATCTTATTTGAGTGAGACTGAGATTGTGTGTGGAACGCCCAACCCAACCAACCCACAAAAAACAATGGCCTGCCCTAAACATGGTAAGCATAGGGGAGAGCTACATGAGTTTGTGGCACACGGATTGGGGAGGGGGCGTGGGGAGAGAAGGGGGGGGGAAGTGGGGGGGAAGAATAACATCACAAGTCGAGTCGTACGTGACTCGTGGCAAAGTTCTTTAAACTCACATCAAGTTTTTTTATTTTAGTTTGAGAATTTAGTCAAGTTACGAGCCGACCCCGAGTGTAAGAAAAACTCTAGCAATTTTCGCTCGACTCGACTTGAGAGGTCCAAAAAACTCGCAGAAATGAGTCGAGTTAAGCTCGACTCGCCATCTGAACATGTCTTCTGCGTGTACATGGTTGAGACAAGGATGATTAATGAGTCCATGGCAGATAGCGCATAGCACGTCACGTGAATCATAGCATGTGCGATGGTGCATGGGCAACGAGATGGTGCATGGGCAACGAGATGGTGCATGGGCAACGAGATGGTGCATGGGCAACGAGATGGTGCATGGGCAACGAGATGGTGCATGGGCAACGAGATGGTGCATGGGCAACGAGATGGTGCATGGGCAACGAGATGGTGCATGGGCAACGAGATGGTGCATGGGCAACGAGATGGTGCATGGGCAACGAGATGGTGCATGGGCAACGAGATGGTGCATGGGCAACGAGATGGTGCATGGGCAACGAGATGGTGCATGGGCAACGAGATGGTGCATGGGCAACGAGATGGTGCATGGGCAACGAGATGGTGCATGGGCAACGAGATGGTGCATGGGCAACGAGATGGTGCATGGGCAACGAGATGGTGCATGGGCAACGAGATGGTGCATGGGCAACGAGATGGTGCATGGGCAACGAGATGGTGCATGGGCAACGAGATGGTGCATGGGCAACGAGATGGTGCATGGGCAACGAGATGGTGCATGGGCAACGAGATGGTGCATGGGCAACGAGATGGTGCATGGGCAACGAGATGGTGCATGGGCAACGAGATGGTGCATGGGCAACGAGATGGTGCATGGGCAACGAGATGGTGCATGGGCAACGAGATGGTGCATGGGCAACGAGATGGTGCATGGGCAACGAGATGGTGCATGGGCAACGAGATGGTGCATGGGCAACGAGATGGTGCATGGGCAACGAGATGGTGCATGGGCAACGAGATGGTGCATGGGCAACGAGATGGTGCATGGGCAACGAGATGGTGCATGGGCAACGAGATGGTGCATGGGCAACGAGATGGTGCATGGGCAACGAGATGGTGCATGGGCAACGAGATGGTGCATGGGCAACGAGATGGTGCATGGGCAACGAGATGGTGCATGGGCAACGAGATGGTGCATGGGCAACGAGATGGTGCATGGGCAACGAGATGGTGCATGGGCAACGAGATGGTGCATGGGCAACGAGATGGTGCATGGGCAACGAGATGGTGCATGGGCAACGAGATGGTGCATGGGCAACGAGATGGTGCATGGGCAACGAGATGGTGCATGGGCAACGAGATGGTGCATGGGCAACGAGATGGTGCATGGGCAACGAGATGGTGCATGGGCAACGAGATGGTGCATGGGCAACGAGATGGTGCATGGGCAACGAGATGGTGCATGGGCAACGAGATGGTGCATGGGCAACGAGATGGTGCATGGGCAACGAGATGGTGCATGGGCAACGAGATGGTGCATGGGCAACGAGATGGTGCATGGGCAACGAGATGGTGCATGGGCAACGAGATGGTGCATGGGCAACGAGATGGTGCATGGGCAACGAGATGGTGCATGGGCAACGAGATGGTGCATGGGCAACGAGATGGTGCATGGGCAACGAGATGGTGCATGGGCAACGAGATGGTGCATGGGCAACGAGATGGTGCATGGGCAACGAGATGGTGCATGGGCAACGAGATGGTGCATGGGCAACGAGATGGTGCATGGGCAACGAGATGGTGCATGGGCAACGAGATGGTGCATGGGCAACGAGATGGTGCATGGGCAACGAGATGGTGCATGGGCAACGAGATGGTGCATGGGCAACGAGATGGTGCATGGGCAACGAGATGGTGCATGGGCAACGAGATGGTGCATGGGCAACGAGATGGTGCATGGGCAACGAGATGGTGCATGGGCAACGAGATGGTGCATGGGCAACGAGATGGTGCATGGGCAACGAGATGGTGCATGGGCAACGAGATGGTGCATGGGCAACGAGATGGTGCATGGGCAACGAGATGGTGCATGGGCAACGAGATGGTGCATGGGCAACGAGATGGTGCATGGGCAACGAGATGGTGCATGGGCAACGAGATGGTGCATGGGCAACGAGATGGTGCATGGGCAACGAGATGGTGCATGGGCAACGAGATGGTGCATGGGCAACGAGATGGTGCATGGGCAACGAGATGGTGCATGGGCAACGAGATGGTGCATGGGCAACGAGATGGTGCATGGGCAACGAGATGGTGCATGGGCAACGAGATGGTGCATGGGCAACGAGATGGTGCATGGGCAACGAGATGGTGCATGGGCAACGAGATGGTGCATGGGCAACGAGATGGTGCATGGGCAACGAGATGGTGCATGGGCAACGAGATGGTGCATGGGCAACGAGATGGTGCATGGGCAACGAGATGGTGCATGGGCAACGAGATGGTGCATGGGCAACGAGATGGTGCATGGGCAACGAGATGGTGCATGGGCAACGAGATGGTGCATGGGCAACGAGATGGTGCATGGGCAACGAGATGGTGCATGGGCAACGAGATGGTGCATGGGCAACGAGATGGTGCATGGGCAACGAGATGGTGCATGGGCAACGAGATGGTGCATGGGCAACGAGATGGTGCATGGGCAACGAGATGGTGCATGGGCAACGAGATGGTGCATGGGCAACGAGATGGTGCATGGGCAACGAGATGGTGCATGGGCAACGAGATGGTGCATGGTGCATGGGCAACGAGATGGTGCATGGGCAACGAGATGGTGCATGGGCAACGAGATGGTGCATGGGCAACGAGATGGTGCATGGGCAACGAGATGGTGCATGGGCAACGAGATGGTGCATGGGCAACGAGATGGTGCATGGGCAACGAGATGGTGCATGGGCAACGAGATGGTGCATGGGCAACGAGATGGTGCATGGGCAACGAGATGGTGCATGGGCAACGAGATGGTGCATGGGCAACGAGATGGTGCATGGGCAACGAGATGGTGCATGGGCAACGAGATGGTGCATGGGCAACGAGATGGTGCATGGGCAACGAGATGGTGCATGGGCAACGAGATGGTGCATGGGCAACGAGATGGTGCATGGGCAACGAGATGGTGCATGGGCAACGAGATGGTGCATGGGCAACGAGATGGTGCATGGGCAACGAGATGGTGCATGGGCAACGAGATGGTGCATGGGCAACGAGATGGTGCATGGGCAACGAGATGGTGCATGGGCAACGAGATGGTGCATTGGGCAACGAGATGGTGCATGGGCAACGAGATGGTGCATGGTGTGGGAGGTGATGCATGGGAGGAGAGGGCATGGTATGTGGTATGGGCGATGGTCTGTTTGTGTGGCATGGTAGGTTGTGCAAGCCCCACGGAGAAGACAGCGTGGGGTGAAGTGAAGAGATATAGTTGATAAGGGGAGGAAAGACTGGTGTGGTGGTGTGGCGTTGGTAGAGGAGGGACGGATGGATTGGAGGCATTGGGAGGACTGACAAGTGCAGTAGAGAAGAAAGGTTCCCCAGGGAAGCCGGGAGGGAGCCTGTAAGCCAGTTGTCGCTTAAATCTCTACAGGCAGTATACAGCAACATGGGGGTGAGGCGGCACTCAGAAACAAGGGAGGGAGAACAGCTGAAAACAGGGTGAATGGATGGAGATAGGGCTGGGTGGGTGGATGGATGGAGATAGATATGGATGGATGGGATCAGGGGTGGATGGATGGATAGAAACACATGGTCGGGACTTGGGAGTCACAAGGGAGGGCCAATGTGGGTTGAATTTTGTCGATGCGAGGTGCAGAGGAAACCAGAGGTAGCATGAATGCACATATGCTCACTTGCACACATGCACCATGCGCAGATGCATGTATGCACACATGCACCATGCGCAGATGCATGTATGCCCACATGCACCATGCGCAGATGCATGTATGCCCACATGCACCATGCGCAGATGCATGTATGCCCACATGCACCATGCGCAGATGCATGTATGCCCACATGCACCATGCGCAGATGCATGTATGCCCACATGCACCATGCGCAGATGCATGTATGCCCACATGCACCATGCGCAGATGCATGTATGCCCACATGCACCATGCGCAGATGCATGTATGCCCACATGCACCATGCGCAGATGCATGTATGCCCACATGCACCATGCGCAGATGCATGTATGCCCACATGCACCATGCGCAGATGCATGTATGCCCACATGCACCATGCACAGATGCATGTATGCCCACATGCACCATGCGCAGATGCATGTATGCCCACATGCACCATGCGCAGATGCATGTATGCCCACATGCACCATGCGCAGATGCATGTATGCCCACATGCACCATGCACAGATGCATGTATGCCCACATGCACCATGCGCAGATGCATGTATGCCCACATGCACCATGCGCAGATGCATGTATGCCCACCTGCACCATGCGCAGATGCATGTATGCCCACATGCACCATGCGCAGATGCATGTATGCCCACATGCACCATGCGCAGATGCATGTATGCCCACATGCACCATGCGCAGATGCATGTATGCACACATGCACCATGCGCAGATGCATGTATGCACACATGCACCATGCGCAGATGCATGTATGCACACATGCACCATGCGCAGATGCATGTATGCCCACATGCACCATGCACAGATGCATGTATGCCCACATGCACCATGCGCAGATGCATGTATGCCCACATGCACCATGCGCAGATGCATGTATGCACAGATGCACCATGCGCAGACGCATGTATGCACAGATGCACCATGCGCAGACGCATGTATGCACACATGCACCATGCGCAGACGCATGTATGCACACATGCACCATGCGCAGATGCATGTATGCACAGATGCACCATGCGCAGACGCATGTATGCACAGATGCACCATGCGCAGACACATGTATGCACACATGCACCATGCGCAGACGCATGTATGCACACATGCACCATGCGCAGACGCATGTATGCACACATGCACCATGCGCAGATGCATGGACTGACAGGGTGTGGAGGCCTGTTGCGAGGCCCACTTCGCTAGGGATGCTGCCTGAGATAAGAGTCTTGGTAATAACACTGCTCATATGCATCACGTGCACACATGCGATACGGGACACACGTGGAATACAGGAGACACATGGAATACAGGAGACACATGGAATACAGGAGACACATGGAATAGAATTCATGAGAGCGCACATGCATAGTGAGAGCGCACATGCATCGTGAGAGCGCACATGCATCGTGAGAGCGCACATGCATCGTGAGAGCGCACATGCATCGTGAGAGCGCACACATGCATCGTGAGAGCGCACATGCATCGTGAGAGCGCACATGCATCGTGAGAGCACACATGCATCGTGAGAGCACACATGCAAAAGTTGGTGATTTCTCAACCGTACACAAAAGACACCTCCACGGTTAAAAGAGAAGGAACGGTGCGATAATGTGTAACAAAACAGGAACAGACAAGACTTGCAAAGACATGTTGACATGGGAGAGCCCTGATGATATTCAAGGCACCACGCTGCAAGCAGCACACACCCGGTGCGGGCAGCACACACCAGGGACGGGCAGCACACATCCGGTGCGGGCAGCACACATCCAGTGCGGGCAGCACACATCCGGTGCGGGCAGCACACATCCGGTGCGGGCAGCACACACCAGGTGCGGGCAGCACACACCAGGTGCGGGCAGCACACACCAGGTACGGGCAGCACACACCAGGTACGGGCAGCACACACCAGGTACGGGCACATGGTTCTTATACTCATACTCCCATAAATCAGTCAAGTCAGCAAGGGGGCAACGACGGAGGTGGGGAACGACGGGTGAAAAGGGGAGAAGCTTGGGATGAAACGAGTGAAGGGCGGTGGAGGAGGAGGTAGAAGAGGGAACAAGCGACTCACAGGTGCTTGAGAGTGGGAATGGTGAAGAGAGCAGCTGGCAAGGAGCCATTAAGGTTGATATCTGTGAGGGTGCTGTGGGGAGGGAGTGCGATGGAAGAATGAATGAAGGGAGTTGTTGAAAGGGGTAATGCAGTGGCCTTAGAGGTAAGGGTTTAGGGATGAACATAGGAGATGAAGAAAAAGGTAGATTTGCTGAGGCGCATTTTAAACAGTGGTTGTAGAGGTAAGGGTTTTAAGTAGGGCTGTACATAAGTGATGAAGAGAGAAGCCTTGTGAGGCGCCTAAAAAGAGTGTTTGGCCGTACATAGGAGACGAGCAGAGGAGCCCCTGACATGAACAGACCAGCAGTGTAGACGTGGTTACCAGAGGGTACACTCTATCAAAGTACTAGGTGGGTGGGTCAAACAGAGAACCATGATTCCCATCCCATCCATGCCTTGCTTGCTCTTGCCAGGACACACGCGCCGACATATTGGAGAAACAATTTCCTCACCCGAATCGGATGCATACATGAGAAGTACCGAACCCCCAACGAACTGGATGAGTGGCGGGAATGGGTGCACAGTCAGCAAGGGCTGTCCCCAAGCATGACCCTTGCTCACAGTGCATTCTATTCTAGGCACGAGCAAGGGCTGTTCTCAAGCCAGCCCGTGACGCTTTTCTTCGACTCATCGTCTCAACAAGCACGGATCGGAAATACAAAGCAAGCAGTGTGGTGGCTCGTCGTAACAGGGTTGCTGCAAAATCACCCAGTCCTTCATGAAAGAGCGGCAAACTTGGAACCACGTGCATTTTGAACGGTGGTGTGGTGATCGAATCAAACCACGAATAGATATTTGTTTGTTCCAATCCCCAGATGAGAATTGGCCTCGCCTTTTGTGGCCACATTTGTGGAGTCAGGCATTGGCATTGAGGGGGCGACCTTGCGCGTGAGGTGAGAGAGATTGCCTAGGGAAGGTTTTGAGACGTCTCAAGAAGAACCTTTTATTACGTGGAGGGACAGGGAGAGCCAGGGCATTGGCATTGAGAGGACTGACAAGCGTGTGAGATGAGAGAGGTTGCCCATGGATGCCGGGAGGGAGCCATGGAGGTAATTGCTGCTTAGATCCCTGCAGTAGGCATATGGGTGAAAGGCGGTATAATGATGGAAGGATGGATGGATGGATGGATGGATGGATGGATGGATGGATGGATGGATGGATGGATGGATGGATGGATGGATGGATGGATGGATGGATGGATGGATGGATGGATGGATGGATGGATGGATGGATGGATGGATGGACTGACATGGTGTGGAGGCATGTTGCGAGCCCTACTGCATCAGGTATCCTGCCTGAGAGCTTGTTGTTGGAGAGATCACTGCATATATGCATAATGAAAAGACATGAATCATGTGAGCAGGCATAACATACGCCCATGCAATGCAACATGCAGGCAGATAGTGTGCAAGAGCCCAAGGGAGAAACACAGGGGGTCAAAGAAAGCAGAACGTTTGGAATGTCAGAGCAGTGGTAGCAGCAATGTGCCAGATTCGGCCACATGTGCCAGATTCGGCCGCTGCAGAAGAGAGTTTGTAACATTACCAAGCACTTAGTTTTCAACACCCTCCTAAATCCAGCGATGGCAGAAAAGAGGACGGAAGCAAAAGCAGACGATAAAGGAAATGGGGGAGGGGTGGGGAAGGATAGTGGGTGAGGAAGCGAGGGAAGGTAGGGTTGGATATGGTAGAATGGAAGTGAATGGGCGAACACAAGCCTCGCAGGTGTATGAGGAGTTGTTGTAAAGAATTCTAAAAAACCGCTCCAGCTGGTGCTCTTGAGGGTTTTGTATGGTAGTATCGAAGAGAGCGGGTGAGGAGGAGTCTCACAGGTGCTTGAGATTGGGCATGGTGAAGAGCGAAGCAAGCAAGGAGCCGCTGAGACCACTTCCCTTTATGGATCTGTGGACAAGGGGTGGTATAGAAGGAAGAGTGGAAGGGATTCGACCTTTGAGTCGAGTCAAAAGTCACCTTGGGAGCCGCTGAGGTCGCTTTCTGATATGGATCCGCAGGAAAGGAGTGGTATGGTATGGAAGGAGTCGAAGGGAGCTGTTCAAAGGAGTTGGGTAAACCAAAACCACAACAGAAAAATACAAAAAAACAAGACACAACACATTCTAATTACCACTTGATCGAAATTAACTCGCCGCGTTCACCACTTTAAGGCATGCCACTTCATTCCAACAAGATTATCCCATCTCACGCATGCCTTGCCATGCCGAGCCACTCACAGCAGTGTGAGGTGCTTCAAGGCTGTGATGGTCACCGGAAAAGGGAGCTCAAATGCATTATCAACTAGATAGATTCTGAACCCCTGGGGTGCCACAACGAAGTTATCGCTTAAGCTTGCGTTGCTGGGAGGGGGGAAAGGAAGAGCAGAGAAAGAAAGGAGGGAGAGAGGGAGGGTTGAATGCAGGGATGAACTGGATGCATCATGCTTACAGTGCAACGCCATGCTTACAGTGCAATGACATGCTTACAGTGCAATGCCATGCTTACAGTGCTATGACATGCTTACAGTGCAATGCCATGCTTACAGTGCAATGACATGCTTACAGTGCAATGACATGCTTACAGTGCAATGACATGCTTACAGTGCAATGACATGCTTACAGTGCAATGACATGCTTACAATGCAATGACATGCTTACAGTGCAATGGTTTGCTTACAGTGCAATGACATGCTTACAGTGCAATGACATGCTTACAGTGCAATGACATGCTTACAGTGCAATGACATGCTTACAGTGCAATGACATGCTTACAGTGCAATGACATGCTTACAGTGCAATGACATGCTTACAGTGCAATGACATGCCCATCGCCATCACAGCGCACAAGAGCCATGCTGTCACAATCTCTTCCCCTTCTCCATGTGTCCGTGCCATTAAATTGATACCATGCAGGTGCCAGCTTCTCCAACACTTCCACTGCCGTGATTCACCCGTGACATTCACCCATGCCATTCACCCATCCACATCATCCATGTGATTCACCCATGTCATCTTCCAATGCCATGCTATGCAGCGATACCATACCTTGCCCAACGCTCCTTGCCATGCCACACCATACCACGCGACACCATACCATGTCAGACCACACACCATCATGCCATGCACACCCCAACATGCCATGTCATTCCGGTGTCACGTGTGAATCAATGCAGAGAGTGAATGGTCAGAGCAGTGAGGGGAGCAGGCTTGGGAGCAGGGAACGGATGGATGATGAAGAAATGCAGTGCATTTGAACTTGTTGCCACTCATGGTTTAAAAGGGCAGCTGTGCTAGAGGCGCCTCAAAAGCAGGGAGAGGATGAAGAAATGCAGCACATTCGAACATGCATTACATAACCACAAAATCTCATCGCACATTTCAGAAGCTTACTATCGCACATTTAAGAATCATCGTATTGCACAAGAGCACAGCATGGCTTAGTACAGCAAGAACCATTTAATAATGGTCACCTCCACTCAGCTCAGCACAACACATAAGACAACGGCTCAATGCCAGGGTTTTTTTTAAATGAGGAGGTGGAGGGAAGAAACTGGGTCCTGCACGGCTTACTGTCAGCACGGCTTACTGTCAGCACGGCTTACTGTCAGCACGGCTTACTGTCAGCACGGCTTACTGTCAGCACGGCTTACTGTCAGCACGGCTGTCACCACTGCTTATTGTGAGCACGGCTTACTGTCAGATGTCATCACGGGAGCAGCGCGTGCGAGGGGCATGCAGCAGCGCGCCGCCACCAGCGCCACCACCGCCGCTCTCGCCGCCATCGTGACGTCGCCGCGCCTCCCCATCGCCGCGGCGCAACGCGGCCCCATCGACGCTCACCGTGCGCGCTGCCCGTGCGCTCGTTATCGCGTGTTGCTATTGCGTATGCGGTGTGCTCGTGAGCTGTTTGCGGCGTGCGCTCGTTGCAGCACGGCGGGCGATCGAGACTCTTGAGCAAAACGGAATTCTACTATTGCTGGAAAAGTCGACTCCAGTGGCAGCAGCTCAATGGCGACTGTAACGCGGAATTCTAATCTCGAGCATCTGATTCTCGTCGTCTTCGTCTTTCACATGGGTCTCACGAAGCACACACGCAAGGAATGAGCAGTGGGGTGGAGGGATGATGCTGAACCAGCTTGTGCCATGCTGGGTGGTGAGGTGCTCGGCTGCGCCATAGAAACTGGTGAATATCAAAAGCTAACCCGTGTCAATCCCTTCTTTCACCAGACGCCGTTTTACAGACCACGGAAACGCCCCCAAAATGCGCAAAACCACTCTGCACCGTGTAGCAGCGTGAGCGTAAGCCACAATGAAATTTGAAGACTCTCGCTGACTAGTGGTTGGTGGGGAGGTGGGGCAAGGTCCGACTGTGCAAAGAATAACGCGTTACAGTAAGACTTCCCATATCGATCATTAGAAGTTGACGTGTTTGTCTGTATGCTATTTTTTTGGGTTGCGTAGCAACCCTTTATATTTGGTTTGACATTTTGGGGATATCATTTGAAAAGTGATATTTTACGCACTTTTTGGAGCACACGTTTGAATGTTTGGAACTGTGTTCAAACGGATGCCTCAAATAGTGAATAAAAGCATTCTCAAATGAGATTCCCATATGTGAAACCAAATACCGTACGCATCATGTTGAAACCATGAACTTGCTCGACCCTCCCAGCAACGTCGATAAATACGGCGGATGGTACGGCCGAACATAATATTCTGGTATCAACATGCACGAATTCAGTTGTACAAATGAACAACAAGGTATGAGGTGGAGTGGTTACTTCAAAATGAATGTTAAGATGCACCATAAAGCAATAGAGGTTGATGGGGTCGTTGAAACAGCGAAAACACGCTGCCCCAAAGACGATTAACCTCTAATTACATATATGACACATAGTAACACCACACTTTGAAGCACACATCCCACAAACACAAATGCTAACGCTCGTAAAAAGGGTGCAACACCACGTAACAATTGTGAACGGATCGAAGTGTGTGCACCAATGCTGCGACTGAGATTGATGGGGTCGTTGAAACAGTGAAAACACGCTGCCCCAACGACGATGACAACCTTAGAACACAAACACGGTGCATATCAGCACAACAACCCCCCGTGAAACAACCAACTGACATGAACACACCCGCACAAACTGACCCGCACAAATTGACCCGCACAAACACACCCGCACACACATGCATACACAAATAGGATTGAGAGCAGACAAGCATAACGAAGAGTTGCAATCAATTTATTATGTATCAATCACTGCTAGATTGACCCCCATTCCTCCCTCTTTCCGCCTTCCCCCCTCTCCCTGTACCATCAAAATCTCCTCCCACCCTTTTCCACATTGTCTTCTCTCTCGCATTCCCCTCCCTGCTCCCAATAATGCGTCTTGCACACCTTGCAAAACCAACAGAGTAGAAAATAAATTGTCGTCGGAGAAAGCAGTGAAAAGTATTAAACAACGAGCGCGTACTTGAATGCGAAATGGAACTGGATAAGCATGTATGGGTTGAAATATGACAAGTACAGAATGAAATTAACGGTAAATATTGATACAAAATAAAAATGAAACGCAATTCTTGCAAAGCAATTCGACGACTCACAAGCGTGGTTTGAAACATCGATCCCCTGAGGTCACGCACACCACGCTGGTGTGCAAAAAGGGTCCAGCGAGCAAGACACATAGGTGCAACGAGCTGGGCATCGCCATGCTACAAGGGGCCAGAGAGTTGCAGCAAGGGACGGCAGACTGAGAAGAGAAAGCGGGCTGCCGTAGCAAGGCCTGAGCACACGGCAGCAAGGCGTGAGCTCACTGCAGCAACGCGTGAGCTCACTGCAACAACGCGTGAGCTCACTGCAGCAAGGCGTGAGCTCACTGCAGCAACGCGTGAGCTCACTGCAGCAAGGCGTGAGCTCACTGCAGCAAGGCGTGAGCTCACTGCAGCAAGGCGTGAGCTCACTGCAGCAACGCGTGAGCTCACTGCAGCAACGCGTGAGCTCACTGCAGCAAGGCGAGAGCTCACTACAGCAAGGCGTGAGCTCACTGCAGCAAAGCGTGAGCTCACTGCAGCAAGGCGTGAGCTCACTGCAGAAAGGCGTGAGCTCACTGCAGCAAGGCGTGAGCTCACTGCAGCAAGGCGTGAGCTCACTGCAGCAAGGCGTGAGCTCACTGCAGCAACGCGTGAGCTCACTGCAGCAAGGCGTGAGCTCACTGCAGCAACGCGTGAGCTCACTGCAGCAACGCGTGAGCTCACTGCAGCAACGCGTGAGCTCACTGCAGCAACGCGTGAGCTCACTGCAGCAAGGCGAGAGCTCACTACAGCAAGGCGTGAGCTCACTGCAGCAAAGCGTGAGCTCACTGCAGCAAGGCGTGAGCTCACTGCAGCAAGGCGTGAGCTCACTGCAGCAAGGCGTGAGCTCACTGCAGCAAGGCGTGAGCTCACTGCAGCAAGGCGTGAGCTCACTGCAGCAACGCGTGAGCTCACTGCAGCAACGCGTGAGCTCACTGCAGCAAGGCGTGAGCTCACTGCAGCAAGGCGTGAGCTCACTGCAGCAACGCGTGAGCTCACTGCAGCAACGCGTGAGCTCACTGCAGCAAGGCGTGAGCTCACTGCAGCAAGGCGTGAGCTCACTGCAGCAAGGCGTGAGCTCACTGCAGCAAGGCGTGAGCTCACTGCAGCAAGGCGTGAGCTCACTGCAGCAAGGCGTGAGCTCACTGCAGCAAGGCGTGAGCTCACTGCAGCAACGCGTGAGCTCAATGCAGCAACGCGTGAGCTCACTGCAGCAAGGCGTGAGCTCACTGCAGCAACGCGTGAGCTCACTGCAGCAAAGCGTGAGCTCACTGCAGCAACGCGTGAGCTCACTGCAGCAACGCGTGAGCTCACTGCAGCAACGCGTGAGCTCACTGCAGCAAGGCGTGAGCTCACTGCAGCAAGGCGTGAGCTCACTGCAGCAAGGCGTGAGCTCACTGCAGCAAGGCGTGAGCTCACTGCAGCAAGGCGTGAGCTCACTGCAGCAAGGCGTGAGCTCACTGCAGCAAGGCGTGAGCTCACTGCAGCAAGGCGTGAGCTCACTGCAGCAAGGCGTGAGCTCACTGCAGCAAGGCGTGAGCTCACTGCAGCAACGCGTGAGCTCACTGCAGCAACGCGTGAGCTCACTGCAGCAACGCGTGAGCTCACTGCAGCAAGGCGTGAGCTCACTGCAGCAAGGCGTGAGCTCACTGCAGCAAGGCGTGAGCTCACTGCAGCAAGGCGTGAGCTCACTGCAGCAAGGCGTGAGCTCACTGCAGCAAGGCGTGAGCTCACTGCAGCAAGGCGTGAGCTCACTGCAGCAAGGCGTGAGCTCACTGCAGCAAGGCGTGAGCTCACTGCAGCAAGGCGTGAGCTCACTGCAGCAACGCGTGAGCTCACTGCAGCAACGCGTGAGCTCACTGCAGCAAGGCGTGAGCTCACTGCAGCAACGCGTGAGCTCACTGCAGCAACGCGTGAGCTCACTGCAGCAACGCGTGAGCTCACTGCAGCAACGCGTGAGCTCACTGCAGCAACGCGTGAGCTCACTGCAGCAAGGCGTGAGTTCACTGCAGCAACGCGTGAGTTCACTGCAGCAAGGCGTGAGCTCACTGCAGCAAGGCGTGAGCTCACTGCAGCAAGGCGTGAGCTCACTGCAGCAAGGCGTGAGCTCACTGCAGCAAGGCGTGAGCTCACTGCAGCAAGGCGTGAGCTCACTGCAGCAAGGCGTGAGCTCACTGCAGCAAGGCGTGAGCTCACTGCAGCAAGGCGTGAGCTCACTGCAGCAACGCGTGAGCTTACTGCAGCAACGCGTGAGCTCACTGCAGCAAGGCGTGAGCTCACTGCAGCAACGCGTGAGCTCACTGCAGCAAGGCGTGAGCTCACTGCAGCAAGGCGTGAGCTCACTGCAGCAAGGCGTGAGCTCACTGCAGCAAGGCGTGAGCTCACTGCAGCAAGGCGTGAGCTCACTGCAGCAAGGCGTGAGCTCACTGCAGCAAGGCGTGAGCTCACTGCAGCAAGGCGTGAGCTCACTGCAGCAAGGCGTGAGCTCACTGCAGCAAGGCGTGAGCTCACTGCAGCAAGGCGTGAGCTCACTGCAGCAAGGCGTGAGCTCACTGCAGCAACGCGTGAGCTCACTGCAGCAACGCGTGAGCTCACTGCAGCAAGGCGTGAGCTCACTGCAGCGAGGCGGCAGCGCGTAAGGCGGCAGCGCCTAAGGCGGCAGCGCGTTAGGCGCCAGCGCGCAAGGCGCCAGCGCGCAAGGCGCCAGCTCGCTAGGCGCCAGTGCGCAAGGCGCCAGCGCGCAAGGCGCCAGCGCGCAAGGCGCCAACGCGGTAGGCGCCAGCGCGCAAGGCGCCAGCGCGGTTGGCGCCAGCGCGCAAGGCGCCAACGCGCAAGGCGCCAGCGCGGTTGGCGCCAGCGCGGTAGGCGCCAGCGCGGTAGGCGCCAGCGCGCAAGGCGCCAGCGCGCAAGGCGCCAACGCGCAAGGCGCCAGCGCGCTAGGCGCCAGCGCGCTAGGCGCCAGCGCGCAAGGCGCCAGCGCGCAAGGCGCCAGCGCGCAAGGCGCCAGCGCGCAAGGCGCCAGCGCGCAAGGCGCCAGCGCGCAAGGCGCCAGCGCGCAAGGCGCCAGCGCGCAAGGCGCCAGCGCGCAAGGCGCCAGCGCGCTAGGCGCCAGCGCGCAAGGCGCCAGCGCGGTAGGCGCCAGCGCGCAAGGCGCCAGCGCGCAAGGCGCCAGCGCGCTAGGCGCCAGCGCGCAAGGCGCCAGCGCGCAAGGCGCCAGCGCGCAAGGTGCCAGCGCGCAAGGCGCTAGCGCGGTAGGCGCCAGCGCGCAAGGCGCCAGCGCGGTAGGCGCCAGCGCGGTAGGCGCCAGCGCGGTAGGCGCCAGCGCGCAAGGCGCCTGCGCGCAAGGCGCCAGCGCGCAAGTCGCCAGCGCGCTAGGCGCCAGCGCAATGCTAAGACGAAACCAATTGGCACAGGGAACTTTCGAAGAAAGTAGAAAACATAGGAAATTTCGGGCGGAGGAGGGAGGTAAAAAGGTCCGGGAAACGTAAACGCACCTGAGACAACGGTGCTTCAGAAAACAACGTGCGGTCGTGCAGAAACCCGCGCTCACGCTCGAGCACCCACCAGAGGCGACGGCGGAAGGGAGGGAGAGGAGACGGAGAGGAGGAAGGGAGAGGCTATGATGGGGTGGAGGCAGAGGCGATGCAGGATAGGAAGGAGCGGCGACGGCGGCTGAGAGGCAGACAGACGAGATGGTGGGGACTGAGGGAGAGGATAAAGTGGGATGGGAGGAGAGGCGACGGCGGGGTATTAGGAGAACAGGAAAGCTAACATGGTAGGTAGGCGCGACGGCAGGAACCTAAGTAGAACAAGAACCAAGAATCAAGAACCAAGAACGAAGAAGAGGGGAGCGTCGAATTCGGATTGACAGGTGTGAAAAGAAAGACTACAAAGTTTACTCGTTAGAAGAGGAAAACATGTTTTTGTCAGATACAAATTCTGGCATTGTAGATATGTTTGTATCGCAAAGATGCTACCTTGGCTGCATGATGTTCATAAAATGAGATTGTTGCTATCGAGGGTCGTCATGTTGTTGGCGCAATTCTAAGTAGATAGAACCCTGATAAATCGCTTTCCATAAGTATGGTATAATATGTACCACTGTTATGTTTCTTATACCGTATCACCCCGGATATAAGCGCAGGCCTATGATAAGCGCATGCGCTTATATCTGGAGCACTGCGCTTATGCCCGAACCTCAATTATAAGCGCACCCCCTGTAAAACCCTGACTTATTATAAGCGCATGTCTAATTTCAATTTTAAATCTTAATTAAAACGGTAACGAAATCTAATTTTGCAGCGAGGTCAAAACCATTTTCGCTTCGATTGACTTTGAGGACCTCACATCCTCCACGTCCAGTCCGTATGAGCTGGCATTCCAGCAGTATGACGTGTAAATTTGCCTCTGTGCACCGGCAGAGTATCGACCGCGCACGATTCTGATTTGTGACGCTCAGAATTTCGATTCGATTGAAGTTGCAAGAAGGAGATGTACAGTTTGGTGCCTTTTGAACATATATGTATATTTGTCATTATATAAGCGCGTGCGCTTATAAATTTTACTCAATTATAAGCGCACCCCTCTAAAAAAACACATTTTATTATAAGCGCAGGTGCGCTTATATCCGGGGTGATACGGTACTAGAAATATAACCCTACGCAACCCTTACGACGTAAACGTCGAGTCTTGTGAGAGTGCTTGCTGGCACGTGTTGCAGCGCCGTCTTTCCGTAGCCCTCCCTTGTGCCTGGCAGAAGCAACATGGGCCGCCGCCTGTTCGAAACGATTCCCTTGTGCCTTCTCGCACACGGTCTGTACGCACACCCACTCCTCCCGCACAGCCCCTGTGGAGGTGAGTACAACTGCGGGGTCTTTCATGATACGTTTCAGGAGTGAAGAAGCTTTTAGGGATGCCGCTGCGGGGAGAGGCGGGGAGACAACCGTCAGTATGGGTCAAGAAATGCGAGGTAAGCGGTAAAGAATGCGAAGGTATTGAATGCGAAGGTAGAAGGTGAGAGGTCTCTCTGTTTATACCATTCATCTCATGAACCTTTTTGACCGTCAGGTTCCAGTTGGTGAAGTTCTCCTGCCTGGAGATGACGTAGTGGTCATGGTACCGGGACATGTGCTGACCGCTGCAGAGCTCGCAAGTAAGTGACGGAACGTGGAGCAGGTAACGCCTCCCTGTTGACGGATCCTCCACAAAGTACCTCCAACGGTACTCATCAGCTGCGTGGGGGACGATCAAGCCGCGAATACGGTCAGTATCCAGCCCAGTGACTGGGTCAACAGTACGGTGGAAGCCGAAGCCACTGGCGAACGCGCTCCTGCCACGCTTAACCAGCTTCGACACCACCAGCAGGTGACGGATTAACTCAGCCGGCCGGCACTCCCTTGACCACAACTTCCTTCTCCGTCGGGTTCAGTATGCGCTCACGAAGAAAACGCGCGTCTTCAGGATGCTGCCAGGTGAGGTCGATGATGTCGCCGTTCACACATTCATGGCTGATGATCTGACTCCAGACGAAGTTCGCGTCTCTGACATGGTTGAAGGTAACTTGGAGGCGACCATAACGCGTGCCAGAGAAATAAGTCGCCGTGAGCTCTTGGTAAGTCGTCGTCTGCAGCACATCTGGAGACATTTGTTCTTTCCAGTCGTCCAATAAGGCTGCCACTGTTACAGCAGCTCGCTTGGCTTCAGCCTTCCTGAGAATCGGCACCAGCAAGGTTAGTGAGAATCTTTTTAAGGCAATGATACTGTTGAGCGAATCCGGTTCCAGGTGCTCGTCCGAGTCGTCATTTAGGTAACCATCGTCGTCGTCGTCAGGAGCCAGGTCCGACGAAGCCTCTTCGACCCCTTGCGCATCAGCATCTGCGTCCGTTGTTAGAAACTAGAAGTGAACGAGAATGAGTGAAACTAGGCAGCAGGGTGATACAAGTAGGAAACCCTAGCAATGTTGTACCCCCTAAGGCTAAACCCATTATAGCCTACACAATAGGAACATGTATAATGTTTGACACACCCCCATAGGCTAAGTGGGAGACAACCAGATGGTCACAAGACCAGTCAAAGCAAAGCAAAGCAAGCTCAGGGTGGATCTCAAGGAAACCACACAAATTCCGAGCACAAGCAAGCGGCCACAAGACCAGTTCACATGCAGTTTGATAATATAACAAGAGGTACAGTGATCACAACCTAGCAAGTGTAAGCATGCAGGTGTATGTATATATATAGAGATCACAGTACAAGCAGAGTCAAGAAGTAAGCAAGTGAGGCACAGTAGGCACAAGGCCTAGAACAGTACAGAAACGCTGATGGTCACAAGGCTGAAGCGCCTTGGTGAACACATCAGCAGTGTTGGCCCGAGTGGCCACGTAAGCAAGACGAAGCTGACCACGCTGCTGCAGCTCTCGAGCAAGGAAGTAGCGCAGAGCGATGTGCTTCGTTCTGTGCTCCAGTCTGTGCTCCTGACACAAGGCAATGGTGGCCTTGTTGTCGACGTACAGCACTGGAGGAGAACGAGGCCGCTCTCCCAGGTCGGCCAGCAGGTAGGTGAGCCAGCGTAACTCCTGTGCAGCCATGGCTGTGGCGTAGATCTCAGCCTCACAACTGGAGCTGAGAACTGACGACGAGCGTGTAGAACGCCAAGAAACTGAACCAGAACCAAGGCTGAAGGTGTAACCCTGAGACGACCGCTGCGTAGCCTGGTCGTCAGCCCAAGAAGCGTCTGAGTGTCCAGTGAGGACAACGTCTCTCCGTCCTCCAAGCACAAGCCCCATGCCCGACGTACTGCACAAGTAGCGCAACACCCTCTTAGCGGCATCCATGTGCTCCTTCCGGTGACGGCCAGGAGCGACATAGCGTGCTAGGATGCTAAGAGGGTATGCAAGGTCAGGTCGAGTGCAGGTCATCAGGTACATGAGGCAGCCCACAAGCTCTAGATACGGGCCACTCGGCTCTACGGACTCATCCGAAGGCAGAGCTGAGAGCGAGTGACCGGTAGGCAGAGGAGTGGGCTGAGGCGAGGAGTACGTGAAGCGGAAGCGCTGAAGGACCTGCTGCACCATGTGTGACTGAGTCAAGGTGATGGTGCGCTGTGCTCTGTCCCGGGTGATCCGCAAGCCAAGATAGCTTGTCCGCTCACCCAGGTCTGTGCACGTGTGTCTCTTCTGCAGCTCCGACTTCACGTGGGCGAGTGCCTCAGTGTCAGCAGTAGCAAAGACCAAGTCGTCTACGTACACGAGAACGTAGAACGGCGGCAGAGTGGTGTCGGTGTGTAGAAACAGCGACGGGTCAGCAGTAGAAGGAGCAAACCCAAGAGCAGCAAGAGTAGTCCTTAGTGTGTCGTGCCACTCACGGGGTGCCTGGCGGAGACCGTAGACTGGCCGCCGGAGGCTCCACTGGGTACCAGGAGGGAACGACCCAGTGAAGCCAGGTGGGCGGCGCAGCCAGATCTCCTCATGCAGGCTGCCCTGTAGGAACGCAGTGCTGAAGTCAAGAGAGTGGAGCTCGTAGTCACGCTGAGCGGCGACGTGCAACAGAACCCGAAGAGTGGTCATCTTCGGGGTCGGGGAGAAGGTCTGGAAGAAGTCAACTCCCTCTCGCTGACTGAAGCCTCGTGCAACGTAACGCGCCTTGAAGACAGGCGGAGAACCCGGCGGCCGCTTCACCCTGAAAATCCACATGCCACTGACGATGTTCGCACCAGGTGGGGGAACCTCGTCGACGTAGGTGCCTGTGGACTTCCAGGAAGCCATCTCTGCGTCCATGGCTGTCTGCCACTGAGAGGAGTAGAGACCCTCCATCGCCTCTGCGTAAGAGCGTGGGGTCGGGATGTCTGGTGCATCCGGGTCTCCCTCAGGGGCAATCAGCATGGACACGAGATGAGGTAAAGCAGCGGCAAAGCACTCAAACTCCTCCTGTCTGTCCTCAAGGACGTCCGTGCCAAGAGCACACTCACCCCCGACGGACGGATGACAGACAGACTCAGACTCAGCAACAAGGCTAGCGGCGTAGTCTAGACGACAGGCGGCAGCAAAGTCAACCAAACTCAGCGACTAGAGCAGACGCAGCAGTGGACTCAAAGGTAGGGTCAGTGACAACAGTGGCGAGGAGACGTGTGACAGTAGGACTGGCAGCACGAGCAAGGTCTGACGGCGGGTCAGCAACGTCAGGAAGAGAGGACGCAGGAGGAGACGGCAGAGGGACACGCTGTGGAGCAGTGGAAGGACGCAGAGTCATATAGTGAGTGCCAAGGACAGGAGGAGGACGTTGACGCGGAGCACGACGACCAGCGCGGACAGCGCGGACAGACGACTCTGGACGAGACTCAGGCGACGCAGGACGAGACTCAGGCTCACGACGCTCCGTAAGAACTCTAGTCGGCCCAGCGTAAGGAGAAGGACCAGGCAGCGGAGAGGCAAGCGGTAACTGTGACTGCGACTGGACAGGTGGTGGACTCAGTAGGGGAGGAGAAGGACCAGAG